AGTAGAGCAAGGGTTTTATCAGAAGATGAGTCGAATTTTTTCTTAACTTCCGAAGGAAGCTCGTTTTGCAGAGCGGTTTTCTTGTTGAAATCACTATCCAAATGCTTGATAACTGACTCAATTTTCCCTTCGTTTATTTTGCGTTGTTTTTCTTCGCGATCTTTGTCACGTTCCCCTTTAGTTTGAAAGCCTTCAATGGTCAAGCGTATTTCTGCTGGATCTGCGTTGCCTGCGCTAATCTTGACAACCAAAACTAGCGTTCCGTTTTCGTCATTAGCATCTCCTAATTCAAAGCTAATTTCAACGCCATCTAAAAGATTTTCTGAGAGTTTTGCTAGACCTAGTAAAGCAAGGGTTTTATTAGAAGATGAGTCGAATTTTTTCTTAACTTCCGAAGGAAGCTCGTTTTGCAGAGTGGTTTTCTTGTTGAAGTTGTTTTCAAAATAATTCTTGACTGTTTGGATCTTAATTTTGTCCTTGTCATGCTTTGTATCTTTAGAATGTGAAAATCCGCTGATCAGAATGGTTTTACTTTTCTGAGCAGAATTACCTTCTCGAACAACCTTGAGACTAACAACTACCTCTAGAATACCTTTGGCGTCGCTAGTGTTTTGTCCGAATTCGAAAGTGCGTTGAATAATGCCGGCATCGTAATCTGGAAAAGTACCGATCCCCAGTTGGTCTCAAAAATCGTCATCGCCGACTCTCTGTTTCAATTCTGAAGGTAACTTATCTTTATTTCTTGTAGTGGCATTTCTGTCTAATTTGTTAATTACTTGGCGAACTTTTTTGAAACGCTCTTTTAAAACTAAATCCTGTGCCTTAAGATCGGTCACGACTAGATCTATTCGTTCGTGCCGATTGGCAAGCGTAACTGTTAAATTAATTTCCAGTTCACCCACCAAGTCATCGTGCTTGTATTCAGTAACTTTAATTGAATGTTTAGCCTTGCGAAACTTAAAGTGCTGAGCAATGCCTAAAAATTCCGCGTTTAAATTCTTATTTTTTGCTAATTCGCTGGGTTTTGTGCTAGTTAATTCACTTGAGATTATTCCATCGCTGGGTAAATTCACGATTATTTTTTCTAAAGACTGCTCTGCGCTAAGAGTCTTGAAACCGCGGATTGTAACATTGTCGCGAATTACCTTGAACTCTTGGTTTTTCCTTTGTCCTACGCTTACTGTCAATACTCCCTTTAAATCATCGTAGTCTTTAACTTCAAACTCAAAATTCTTGTTAAAGACTGCGTCTAGACCTAATTTGACGGCGCTATAACGCTGGCCCATTTCAAAGCCCGATGTGTCAATCTCGTTTAACGAAGTTTTATAAGAACTAGCAACCTTGATCTGATCATTTTCATCGCGCTCATCTTTTTCAAGTTCCTTGTTCTCATGCCCCCCCCCGCAAGCTACCAAAGTAGTTACAGGAAAAGTCGCTAACCCCAAGCTAGCGGTAAACAAAAATAGTTTCTTCATACCATCCGCCTTGTATTAGATAAATCCACGTCTCTTATTGTTTTAATTATAGCGATAATTAAGCAATTAAGAGTGGAGCGAACAATTCGTAGTAGTGTTGGTAAATTGTTTCAGAACAAAGTGATTTGACAATTTTTATGTTTACGATGTCAATAGCATTTAATTTTTTTCTGTGGATTTAGCAACCTATTCGTGAATTAGTTGTTCGTAATGGTGAATCACTTAATCAATTAGCAAGAAAACTTTTGCAAAAAACAACCAAACTAAAAACTACTTTATCCGCAGTAAATCAACTATCTTAGTAGTCATGAAACCAGCTACTCTGAAACGAAACAATTTTTCTACACCGTCAAGTTCAAGTATCAATTCAATGAGCAACTCCTCAACGTCGGCTTCATAGTCTACCACTCTAACCCAGTGATCGGCATTACGAAACTGAAAATATTGCGATATACCCAGTTGTTCACACTCCAAAACTTTTTCCTAGCAAAGTAACTAGGTTTCACTCTGCTTCCTAACTCAGTTCATAAAATTCCGTCACTCGGCAGATGACGCACTATATTTCTTAACAAATATTCAGGGTCTAATTTTTGAAATCCCGACACTTGCACAACATTAAGAAACATCTTAACGATCTTTGAGTCTTGAACCACTCCAAATCTAGCGGCGATTTTGCCTTCAACATCGTCGTATCCCTTGACCACAAAAACAAAGTCTCTGGCGGAAATTTCTGCCATCCCGAACCGCTCAGCTAACTCGGCGCCTAATCTATCGTTAAAAATTTTGTCAATCCCCAATTGAGCCGCGCTGTAACGTTCTTCTTTTTCAAAATTCAAAGTATCAACATCGCTGTGCGACGTTTTAATGAAAATTCTTTCCGCTGATTCATTGCGGGTATCAATCCCGCCCGAATGTCCGCAAGCAACTGTTGAGACGATCGAACCACTAAGCAAAGTAAGGTTTGTGATGACTAACGCTCATTTTCTCATTTTTATCTCTTTCAAAGGCATTTTACCATTTAGGAAGAATCATCCGTCTAAATGCAAAATTGCTGCCAAGTCAGTCAACTGATTTCAAATTTGATTCAACTATTCTAATCATTAGTTCTAAATTCGCACTAACAGACACCTTAAATCAACTTAGAGGCGTTGATGATTCCCATTGCCAAAGACTTTTGACCGCCACCACGACCGCCGTGTAAAGTGAGCAGTTTAGTAAAAATTTGCTGACAGTCAAAAGTTTGCGAAGCAAGCGCTACCTTAGTTGATGACCCAACGGCCGAACCAACTATGATCAGCGATTCGGGGTGTTGACTGCGAAGTTGGACGGCCAAGCTTTTTAGATCCACTTGAGGTGCAAAGTCCAACTTCATAAAAGTCGGCATGCCTTGGTAATCCATCGTTTGCCAAACAACATTTATTTGCGCTTGGCTTTTGCGCTGTTTTTTGACTAAACGTTTGTAATCATTTGTTAGCGTTTCAATTAACTTTGGCGCGATAATCGAATCTTTTCCAAGCAAAAATTTAAGTTGATAAGCAGGATCCAGCGACTTATTTTTTTTAACAAGTTGCTCGACCTGCTCACGGATTTTACCGCGCTCTTGATCCTCGTAGTCGGAAATGGTCTCATTGGATGTAATCGCCTCAATCCGGTACACTCCCGATCCCTTAGAATCCAAACGGATAATTTTAAAGCGCTCTATTTCACCTGTGCTGCTAACGTGAGTTCCGCCGCAAAGCTCCTTAGAAATGCCAAAGTCCACCACCCTCACTATCGGTTGGTACTGCTCATTATCAAGTGCTCAAGCACCCATCGCGAGCGCCTCTTCCTTGGTAGTTTCAATGTAACGGCGCGGTCAATCTTGCTCAATGTAGTCATTGACCAACCGCTCTACCGCGCTAATTTGCGCGGCGCTGGGACGGCTAGGATGCGGGAAATCAAGTCTGAGACGGCGGTAGTTATTTTCGGAACCTAACTGCACGCTAGCGCCTAAAATTTCCACTAGCGCTTTGCCAAGTAAATGGGTAGCTGAGTGGTTGCGAGCCGCCTTTTGACGGATAATTGGATCAACCTCCAAACGAACCTTTTCATCCTCAATCCGCTGGTTTAACACATGAATGTGGTTCTGATGTTTATCTTTAAAAACGTTTTCGACTAGCACGCCGTTCAGCGTTCCTTGGTCGTGCTCCTGACCACCACTCGTCGCATAAAAAGGTGTTTCCCGCGTCACTACTAACCACTTATCGCCCGCTTGAGTTTGAAAGACAACCTCCGACTCGGCGCTCAGGTGATCATAGCCGATGAAACGCGACACTTTTTTACTCGGCAAACGGCCTTGGTACCGAGCGGGATCAAAACCAGACTGGAATTGACGGCGCGATTTTTGTTGGTGAACGCGAGTTAACTCTTCAACTTGACTAAGGTCTACCTTAGCGCCGTGCTCACGCGCAATTTCTTCGGTTAGTTCTAGCGGATATCCGTAAGTTTCAAAAAGTTTAAAAGCTAGTTGCGAGTCAACGTGGTTTTGCTTTGACAAGTAGTTCAGCAGTAGCTGTTCGCCTTCAACCATGGTGCGGGCAAACAGACGCTCTTCCTTAGCAATAATTTCGCGCACTCGGCTGACCTCAACTGGGTAAACTGGCAGTGTTTTAGCGACTACGCCGACAAGTTTACTCAGAAATAATTCGGATTTAATCGCCAGTTTATAACCGGCGTGGTAAGCGCGGCGAATCAAACGTCTAATCACGTATCCGCGAGCCGTACGGCTCGGGATAACGCCGTCTTGGATCGCCATGACAACCGCGCGAATGTGATCGGCAATAACGCGGTAAGCCTGGGTGATTTTACGCTTGGACTCGGCCTTTGACTGAGGGTCGTAAGCAAAGGGACTAAGTTTTTCCACGGCGGCAATAATGGGCAAGAATAAGTCGGTTTCAAAATCGGTTAACGCATCATGAAAAATGGCCGCCAACCTTTCTAATCCAGCGCCCGTGTCAATCATTTTTTGACTCAGCTCTTGGTAATTACCTTGACCATCGTTGTCAAATTCAGAAAAAACGATGTTTCAAATTTCTAGGTAGCGGTCGTTTTCAATGTCGGACTCCAAAAGTTTAATGCCTTGCCGCTGGGGATCAAACTTAGCGCCGCGGTCGTAGAAAATTTCCGTGTCTGGTCCGCATGGCCCCTGGCCTAAATCCCAAAAATTAGTTTCCCGGCTGCCGGCCACAAGGTGTTGCTCTTTGATGCCGAGCTCACGTCAAATGTTGTAAGTAGTTAAGTCTTCGCTGTGGTAAGTGATGTAGATCCGCTCCTTGGGAAGTTTTAACTCCTCAAAGATAAACTGGTGCGCTAATTCTAAGGCTGTTTTTTTGAAGTAACCACCGATCGAAAAATTGCCCAGCATCTCAAAAAAAGTGTGGTGGCGCGCCGTTTTGCCCACGTTTTCAATGTCGTTAGTGCGGATGCATTTTTGCACTTTGACAAGGTTTGGTGCCGGCGGCAAAGTTTGGCCGGTAAAAAATGGCTTTAACGTCGCCACGCCCGAGTTAATTAAAAGCAACGAATGGTCGCGGTGGGGAATGAGAGAACTGGAAGGTAAAACTAGGTGCTCGTGGCGAGCAAAGAAATCGCTTCACATTTGGCGAATTTGGTTCGCAGATAGTTTTTGCATACTTTATAAATGTACCATTGTAGTCCGAATTAGATTCATCTAAACGCTGATTAATGCCCTAATTAAAAGCCCGCTTTGCTAGAGCAAGTAATTTTTGCGCCCTTGGTGGTCAAAAACCTGGTCAATCACTCCGCCACCTAAACAAAGCGAATCAGCGTACAAAACGCACTGCTGGCCGGGAGTGACTGCCCAGTGACCAACTGGGTAATCAACCCGGAGTTGATCTTTTTGCCAAGTCAGCGAAACTTCTACGCCCGGACTGCGGTAGCGAAACTTAGCCAGCGCTTTGCTAGGACGATAATCTGGCACTAACCAGTTGATCTTTTTAAGTGTGACGGCCTGAGAAAGCAAAAACTGCCGATCGCTCAGCGGGGCTACGTACAAAATGTTTTGAGCCACGTTTTTGCCCACCACGTAGTAGCGCTCAGACTGACCGCCTAGATTAAGTCCTTCGCGCTGGCCGATGGTGTAAAAAACAACTCCCTGGTGCTGACCGATTTTTTTTGAACTAGTTAAATCGACGATCGGTCCGGATTGCCTTGGCAAATAGTTTTCTAAAAAGAGAGCAAATTTGCGTTTACCGACAAAGCATATTCCGGTCGAGTCTTTTTTATTGGCCACGTCTAAACCAACTTCGCGGGCAATCTGGCGCACCTTGTCCTTGGTTAAATCAGCGAGCGGAAAAAGCACGTGGGATAGTTGCTCGGTTTTCGTTTGAGCCAAGAAATAAGTTTGGTCTTTACTATGATCAAGCGGACGGTAAAGTTTACCCTGCTCACTGCGAGCGTAATGACCGGTGGCCAAAAACTGTTGGTCGGGTCAGTTTTGGCGAATCCACTGCCAAAGAGCTCCAAATTTAATTAAACGGTTGCACCAGACGTCGGGGTTAGGTGTGTAGCCCCGGCGGTAACCATCGATCAAATCTTGAAAAACTTGTTGGTAGTACTGCTCCACAAAATCGACTCGTGTGAGCTCAATACCCAGCTTTTGGGCCACTCTCTGCGCGTCTTGGTAATCGGTTTCCTGGGGGCAACTTTGACTTGGCTTTGAAAATGAACTGACCTTGACTTGGTTGGCAAAATCATCCCAGTTACGCATAAAAACGGCCCTGACCTGGTGACCTTGCCTAAGCAAGAGCCACGCGGCCACGGCTGAATCAACTCCGCCCGAGAGGGCAACTACTACTTTAGCCACGACGGTTAAATTATACCGCCCCTCTGAGTTTCAAAACCAGTTTCAAGATCATGCAAAAACCGCTTAAGATTAGCGCCGGATCGGTAGGCGTCGGGCTTGGATTTACTGGAATAAATCACCCGGTGGCAAGGCACGAGCACTAAAAAAGGGTTGTTAGCTAAAGCGTTTCCGACCGCTCGGGCTGCGCGCGGTTGCCCGATTTTAGCCGCTAGAGACTGGTAGGTTAGCCGCTCACCAGGGCTTGTAGTTAAGAGCTGGCGATAAACTTTTTGGGCAAAACTACCAACGTTTTGCCAGGCCATCTTTTGAGTGTCTATTTTGACCAATTGACCTTGAAAATATTGAAGCAGCCAACTAGCAAAGCGTTCAACTTGAGTGGGCGAGTAAACTAACTTAAATGGCCTCTTAACCCTAGTCAGCAATTTTTGGAGCACCAAACTCTCAGTTGGTTTTTGACCGGGAGCGAGAAAATCAACCAGTCAAAGCTGACTGTCTTTGACCACGATTAAAAAACGCTTGGCCGAGTAAGTCCGGAAATCGAAGGCTAGTGTGTCCACTAGTTTAAATTTTACTCCTCAGCCCGCTCGGTGACAATCTCCAAAGTCATCATTCCTTGCGCGGTTTTAACTTCCAAAAGCAAGATGGAAGATCCAACGTGAAAATGGTGGCTTTGGCTTAACCAGGCCGCTAGTTTCTCAAGAGCGCTTTTTTTAGAAACCTCCGATAGAAGTGCGCTATTTTGAATCGCCGCGCTTAAGTCTTGCTCTAGACTAGCTTGACTGAGCGCGTGAATTCCGTCGGCTTTGGTTTGCACTTTGGCGTTTAAAGTCAGATCAACGTGCGGAGCACAGCTGATTATTTGGGCCGGTAAACAGAAGCTGCTCGCCAGCATGAATGTCCCTGTAAAAAGTTTCTTCATGCCGATAGTTTAACTTATTCTGCCGGTATTTTTACAAAAATTGTAATTTAAACGCTAAGGTCAAGCAGACCAACCTGAAAATTAAGCGACTAAATTAATCGTCAGTTTGGGAAGGCCAACAAAAAAATCGCCTTAACAAAGCAAAAACAAAGACTGGTCGCGTTAGTCTTTGTTTTTCTGCTTAGATTTTTCCCAAGTTTCGTGAGAAACAGGAGCGGTTGGTTTTTGGTAAACGAGTTCGTAGTAAATTAGACCGGCCACAATCGGAAAAACCGCGGTTGAAGTTGCGACAACTAAGATCGTTTTAGCAAACTTTTTCACTTGTAGCCTCCTTACTAATGTAATTATTATACCATAAAAAATTAGAAAGAACTTGTTAAATTCACAATTCTTGAACAAAGCCCCAAATAAAAAACTGCCTTTCGGCAGCGAGCAGAACCCTCAAAACTGAATAGCTTCAAATCAATCTTTTATCTAAACTTAGCGTTAAATTTTTCAATTATTAGTACTGGTTAGCTCAATATGTCACCATACTTAAACACCCAGCCTATCAACCTCATAGTCCATAAGGAATTTCAAGGAGTGCTCATCTTGAAAGAGGCTTCCCGCTTAGATGCCTTCAGCGGTTATCCTTTCCGTACTTAGCTACCCAGCTATGCCCCGGGCGGGACAACTGGAACACTAGTGGTACGTCCGTTCCGGTCCTCTCGTACTAGGAACAGCTTTTCTCAACACTCCAACGCCCACAGCAGATAGGGACCGAACTGTCTCACGACGTTCTGAACCCAGCTCGCGTACCGCTTTAATTGGCGAACAGCCAAACCCTTGGAACCGACTCCAGCTCCAGGATGCGATGAGCCGACATCGAGGTGCCAAACCTCCCCGTCGATGTGATCTCTTGGGGGAGATTAGCCTGTTATCCCCGGAGTAACTTTTATCCGTTGAGCGACGACCCTTCCACACGGAATCGCCGGATCACTAAGTCCTGCTTTCGCACCTGCTCGACATGTGTGTCTCGCAGTCAAGCACCCTTTTACCTTTACGCTCTACATATGGTTTCCGACCATATTGAGGGTACCTTTGAACGCCTCCGTTACCTTTTAGGAGGCGACCGCCCCAGTCAAACTACCCACCACGCACTGTCTCCCTTTTGGATAACAAAAGTGGGTTAGAATCCCAATTAAACAAGGGTGGTATTTCAAGGGTGACTCCACGTTGACTAGCGTCAACGCTTCAAAGTCTCCCACCTATCCTACACATGTTTAACCAGAATCCAATACGAAGTTGTAGTAAAGCTTCACGGGGTCTTTTCGTCTTGCTGCGGGAAAACGGCGTTCTCACCGTTACCATAATTTCACCGAGTCCATTGTTGAGACAGTTGAGAGATCGTTACGCCTTTCGTGCAGGTCACCAATTAAGTGACAAGGAATTTCGCTACCTTAGAACCGTTATAGTTACAGCTGCCGTTCACCCGGGCTTCATATCAATGCTTCGTCGTATTTTAATTTTTGACTAACAAATCAACTTAACCTTCGGGCACTGGGCAGGCGTCACCCCCTATACATCGTCTTACGACTTAGCAGAGAGCTATGTTTTTGGTAAACAGTCGCCCCTCACATTTCCTGTGGCTCACCGAAGTGAGCGCCCCTTCTTGCGAACTTACGGGGTAATTTTGCAGAGTTCCTTAACAATGGTTATCTCGCTCGCCTTAGAATACTCATCTTGGGGACGTGTGTCCGTTCTCGGTACGGGCTCACACGCGATTAAAGTTAGAAGTTTTTCTTGGAAGTTTGGAATCGCTTAATTCGGTACTTGCCTAGACTTTCCCTATGCATCGTAACTCACGGTTACGCCGTGCGGATTTGCCTACACGACCCACTAATTACTTGCCCTAGAATCCGTTAACTAGTAAAGTTATCCTGCTTCGTCACTCCATCACTCGCGCGGAGGTACAAGAATATCAACTTGTTGTCCATCGACTACGCCTTTCGGCCTCGCCTTAGGTCCCGACTAACCCTGGGTGGACGAACCTGCCCCAGGAAACCTTCCCCAATAGGCGTCAAGGATTCTCACCTTGAATCGTTACTCATACCGGCATTCTCACTTCTAACCGCTCCATCAGTCCTCACGGTCTGACTTCAGCGCAGATTAGAACGCTCCCCTAACGTACCCGTAGGTACCCGTAGCTTCGGTATTGTGCTTAGTCCCGTTACATTTTGGGCACAAAATTTCTTGACTAGTGAGCAATTACGCACTCTTTAAATGATGGCTGCTTCTAAGCCAACATCCTAGTTGTTTGAGAAACTTCACCACCTTTTTCACTTAGCACAATTTAGGGACCTTAGCTGACGATCTGGGTTGTTTCCCTCGCGACTACGGGACTTATCTTCCATAGTCCGACTGCATGGCAATCCGTTACGGCATTCGGAGTTTGATTATGGTCAGTACCTCTAGGTGAGGCCATCCCACATTCAGTGCTCTACCTCCGTAACTTAACACCACACGCTAGCCCTCAAGCTATTTCGGGGAGAACCAGCTATATCGAGGTTCGATTGGAATTTCACCGCTAACCACAGGTCATCCAAGCACTTTTCAGCGTACTCTGGTTCGGTCCTCCACATGGAGTTACCCATGCTTCAACCTGCCCATGGTTAGATCACCTCGTTTCGGGTCTATGCCAACATACTAATCGCCCTATTCAGACTCGATTTCTCTACGGCTCCGCTTTTTACCACTTAACCTCGCATGCTAACATAACTCGCCGGTCCATCCTGCAAGATGTACGCCATCACACATTAACGTGCTCTGACTACTTGTAGGCTCTTTGGTTTCAGAATCTATTTCACTCCCCCTCCGGGGTTCTTTTCACCTTTCCCTCACGGTACTAGTTCGCTATCGGTGTCTAATGAGTATTTAGTCTTACCGGGTGGTCCCGGCTGGTTCAGACAAGGTTTCACGTGCCCCGCCCTACTCAGGGTACGACTAGGAGGTTGATAAATTTCGGTTACGGGGCTTTCACCCTCTCTGGCGGAGCTTTCCAACTCCTTCTCCTATCCATCAACTTTTTGNCGACTGTTATCAATTAACGCATCGATTGCTTCTTGGAGCATGCGCAGTTCGTTTTGAATAATCAAAATCGGGGCGTCGTTTTCCTGCCATTTTTTCAGACGGTTGTTCCGAATGATAATCCGGCGGTACAAGTCGTTAATGTCAGAGGTCGAGTGGCGACCGCCGTCAATTTGAATCAGCGGACGTAGGTCAGCCGGAATAATCGGCAAGTTGTAAATGATCATTGACGTTAGATCTTGACCTGATTTATAGAATTTGTTAAGTACATCAAGACGTTTGTAAAGTTTGGAACGCTGCTGAACTAGTCCCGAGTACCAACTTTCGTTCTCCTTGATTTCGCGCGAAATGCGGGTGATTTGCGATTTAACGCGGCGAATCGAATTTTTAAGGTCGAAGTTTTTGAGTAGGTATTCAATCGCTTTAGCACCGGTGCTAATTTTGGCTTCGGAATACTCGTGAATAATTTCGTTGAGTTCGTAAAAGTCAACCCCGTAATCTTGACCGAGTTTAGAACTGGCGGTTTGCTCAAGGTCTTCAATCGAAGCGCTAATTTCGTCGTAAGCATCGCTGCCCGGCTCAAAGCGTTCGCGCAATTCCAGCAGTGCTTTGCGGTAAATTACCGCCGCCTGGTTAATTTCAATGATTTTGTTTTTCGGTAAAGCTTTCAGACCATCGGATTCAAGCACGATGTGGGAACGGAAGTAGATGATGTTTTCGATTTGACGGCGGGAGTGGTATTTTTCAGAGTCTTCGGTTTTAAGACCGAGAACTTTGGCGATGATCGAGTGGTGAATGGTAAAAAACCACAGGTGAACCACGGGCGAAGCTAGTTCAATGTGACCCATGCGGCTACGACGAGCCGACTTAGGCAGAATTTGCGGCTGGTAAATCCGGCATTCGTCGGTCTTTTCGCAAGTTTGACCTTCGTTAGAACGTTTGTACTTAGTTCCGCAAATCGGGCATTTGTAGTCGGTAACCGGCCCAAAAATCACTTCGTCAAAAAGACCGTGTTTCTCAGGTTTGAAAGATTTGTAGTTGATCGTCTCGGGCTTAGTCACTTCTCCGTAAGACCAGTGTTTAACGTCTTCGGGTTTAGCCAATGACAAAGAAATACTCAAAATGTCATTTTCGTGAACTTTTTGGTACTGTCTAGTTTGAATTATGGTTTCGTTTCTCATCGCTACTCTTCCTTCTTAACTTCAACGCCGAGTTTTAAGCACAGTCCGCGCAGTTCGTAAGCCAAAACCGAGAACGATTCGGGCGTACCCGGTCGAGGCAAAGGCATGCCGTTAGTTAAAGCGTTGTAAATTTTGTTTCGACCATCAATGTTGTCCGATTTGTAAGTTAATAACTCTTGCAGTACGTTAGAAGCTCCGTACGATTCAACCGCCCAAGCTTCCATCTCACCAAAACGTTGTCCACCGTTTTGAGACTTACCACCCAGCGGTTGCTGAGTGATCAGCGAGTAAGGACCAACCGAGCGAGCGTGCATTTTATCGTCAACCATGTGGGCCAGTTTAAGCATGTACATCACACCGACTGAAACTTTTTGGGCGAACTTAGCGCCGAGAATCGGATCGTAAAGATCAAATTTACCGTCAATCGGTAAGTTGGCCTCTTGGAGAGCCTCGCGCACATCGTGGTACTTGATGCCGTCAAAAACAGGTGAAACAAACTTAACTCCGAGCGCCTGAGCCGCCATGCCAAGGTGGAGTTCCAAAACTTGTCCGATGTTCATCCGCGAGGGAACGCCCTGCGGGTTAAGCATGATATCTACCGGCGTACCGTCGCTCAGGCAAGGCATGTCTTCAACTGGTAAGATCCGGGAAATGACCCCTTTGTTACCGTGGCGTCCCGCCATTTTATCGCCGACTTTGATTTTGCGTTTTTGAGCGATGAAAACTTTGATAATCATCGAAATGCCGTCTTGCAGTTTGTCACCGTTCTCACGCGAAAGTACTTGCGCGTCAATCACGGTTCCGCCGTGGCCGTGCTTAACTTTTAAAGAGGTGTCTTTAATGTTTTTAGCGCGCTGGGAGAAAATCGCCGCGATTAGTTTTTCTTCCGGCGTTGGATTGTCTTCGCTCTTAGGTGAAATCCGACCGACTAAAACGTCACCAGCTTGAACTTCCGATCCGACGCGAACAATCCCCGAATCGTCTAAGTTACGTTTGGCAAAGTTGGAAACGTTTGGTAAATCACGACTCAGTTCATCATCGCCCGATTTGGCCTTGCGAAACTGAATCGTTTGCTCTTCAATGTGAATCGATGTGTAAACGTCGTCGCGGACTAGACGTTCGGAAATGATGATCGCATCCTCGTAGTTATAACCGTTTCAAGTGGTAAAAGCAACAACCACGTTTTTACCCAGCGCTAGTTCACCTTTGTCAAACGAAGAAGCATCGGTTAGCACTTGGCCTTGCTGAACTTTTTCACCCTCTTTAACGATTGGACGCTGTGAAATCAGCGTTCCTTGGTTAGAGCGTTCAAACGTTCTCAAGTAGTAAGTGCGCACGCTCTTCTTACCTTTAACTTTGATAACTTGCGAATCAACGTAGCTAACTTGTCCATCTTCCTCAGCGATTTTGTTGTAGGCCGAAAAGCGTGCGATGTCTGCCTCAGCGCCAGTCGCAATTAAGGGTGCCTCCGACTCTAAAAGCGGCACGGCTTGGCGCTGCATATTAGCACCCATCAGAGCCCGGTTAGCGTCGTCGTTTTCTAGGAAAGGAATGCAAGACGAAGAAATAGAAGTCATCTGACGCGAAGAAACATCCACGTAATTAACTTCCTTGCGGGGGACGATGATGTAATCGCCGTCTTTGCGCACTACCACGTTGGCTTCAACGATTTGGTCGTCCTGGTTGACGGCAATTGATGATTGAGCGAAAGTTTTACCTTTTTCGTCGCTAGCCGACAAGTAAATTGCGTCGCGAATGATTTTGCCGTTTTCGACCGGAAAGTAAGGGGTTTCAATAAAACCGTACTGGTTAATGCGGGGGTAAGTGGCAAAGTTAAGAATTAGTCCGATGTTAGGACCTTCGGGCGATTCGATCGGGCAAATTCTTCCGTAGTGAGTCGCGTGAACGTCGCGAACCTCAATGATGGCTGTCTCGCGGTTTAGGCCACCCGGGCCGAGCGAAGTGATCCGACGTTTGTTAGCGATCTCAGCCAGCGGGTTAACTTGGTCCATGAACTGCGAAAGTTGGGAAGAGTTGAAGAAAGTTTTGAACTGGTTGTAAACAATCTTGTTATTAGTGATGTTTTTAACTGTGATTTTATCGGGCTCGTTAGCCGACATTCTTTCTTTAGCACTGCGCTCAAGTTTAGTCAGCGCGATTTGGAATTGGTTCTGGAGTAGTTCGCCGATCGTAACTACCCGTTTGTTAACAAGCGAGTCGGGGTCGTCCTCGGTGCCGATCCCTTCTAACAAATTGAAGTAGTAACCGATCGCCGCGACAATGTCGGAGATAAGTAGGTGTTCTTCGTCGGATTGAGGGTCATTAGCGATAATTTTGAGGGGATTTTTTTGCTGTTCTATTCACGACTCGTTCGGATAAACTTGGACGATAATGATTTGGTTACGCTTAAGCAAGTTCGGGTAAAAATCAACTTGCTTACCGTAAACATCGGTGGAAATTTCCGGAATGTCAACCGTCGGTAAAACGCCCTCGTCAAACTGACTTTGGATTTCTTTGGCCAACTTAAAATCAATCGGCGTGCCGGCCTTGTAGAGCACTTTGCCAGAAACGGTCGCTAAGTCCTGAGCCAAAATAGTCCCTTCCAGGCGGTCTACTAGGTTCAGTTTTTTGTTAATCAAAAACCGACCCGTTTTGAGAAGGTCGTAACGACGTTTGTTAAAAAGAAAGTTGACGAACAAGTTACGGCGCGATTCGTTGGTGATCCGATCGCCTTTTTTCAAAATACCGTGCACGTAATCAAGTGCGTCGATCTCGGTTTCCTTTTTATCCTTGCGGAGCGTTTCAGCTAAAACAGGCGTGGAACCAAATAGAGATGGCAGAGCGTCAAAAAACTCCTTCCAGTTCTCTTTCTTATCTTTGCGACGGTCTTTGCGATCGTACTTAGCAAACATTTCCACTAGCGCTGGACTAGTTCCGTAAAGTTCAGCGATAGCAGTTTTAGTCATTCCAAAAGCACGTAGGAAAGTTGAGAGCGAAACGTTGTTTTTGTCAATTGAAACTTTTACGTCGGACTTGCTCTTAGTCACTTTGTGGAAAACTCGGATCCACATACCTAGTTTGGGGATGATTTCCAACTTGTTGAAAAGGTCTTTGTCAGACCCTTTCCGAGCATCCATTTCAAAGTATGCTCCCGGCGAACGAATTAGCTGCGATACGACCACCTTGGTTGATCCGTTAACGACGAAGTTGCCGCCCTGAGTCATCATCGGAACTTCGCCAAACAAAACTTCTTGAGTTTTAACCTCGCCCGTTTCGTTGTCTTTGCGACGGAGCGTAGCGTAAACCTTGACGTTGAGAGTGGTACCCTTTTGCCGGGCCATTTTAATCGCTTGGAACTCATCCTTGTACTTCTCAAGACGTAACGATCCGGCCACGTATTCAATCGTTAATTTTCCGTTGGTAGAGTCAATCGGGTAGATGTTCTGAAAAGTTTCTTCTAAGCCTTTAGTTAGGAATCAGTGGAACGAATCTTTCTGAATGCGAACTAAATTCTCGACTGGATAGTGGTAATTGTTGCGCGAATAATCACGGCGCTGGGTGATGGGACCAAATTTTCTTAGTTGGTAGGAACGGCTGACGGCGGTTTTTGCTGGCATAGACTTCACTCTTTCCTCGGCGCAAGGCGGAATACAAGCATTTAAATAAAGCCTTATTAGTATATCACAATGTTAAGTTAAAATAGCACGTAATTACTAAGAAAAATTTCGTAATTTTAACAGTGGTTTGATCAAGTTTTTAATGGATCAAAACCAAACTTCAAACTATTAAAAGACCTATGGGATTTTTGATTTACTGAATAATTTTTAGATCTTTTACATGGTCAAATTTAGGAATTTACAAGCAGTCTGAAAAAGTAAAATTGAGATGTGATATTTATGCGAGTACTCAGAATTTACGTCACAAAGTGGAATAAACACCAACAAACAAAGCGCTATCTTCTTGAGCGTCGCAATAGCATGCTGGATTTTAGTTCTGAAAAAGTTAAGTTCTACTCTAAGTTTGAAGACTTACCCGAAGAATTGCAACTGGAGATATCCGTCATAGAATTTAATCAATCCACGGCTCAAGCTTTCGTCAAAGCGGCTCTAGAGAGTTCTGAAAAAGCTAAATACCTTAACCGAGAAGAAAAGGATCAACTGACTGGCGTAGAAAAAAATCGTGGTGCCGTAGCCGGGGCTATCAGCAGTCTGATTATGAAGTGGGATTACAATCAGGACGAACGAGATATTTTTGACTTCGTTACAGACCTATTCGTGCGAGTTTTGATGGGCCACTTCTTTTACAATGGAAACAAGCGGACAAGCATAATCTTCTTGCGAACCACGCTTTGGAACTTAGGGTTTTATCTTAAGTGAAGCAGCGACGAAAAATACATTTACGAACGAACTTACGAAAACGATCTGAAGGGCTTTATTCAAGAACTTGAGTCAAAAGAAGAATTTCGCGATCAACGACCAGCAATTATTGAAAAAATTAAAACTTGAATTTACAGGAACGTTGTCATAGCACTTAATTTCCGGCGAGCAGCGTATATAATTAAGTCAAATCTTTAAAACGAGTTGTGGTCATCCAAGGAGGACAACATGAAAGTAAAGTACAAATGGTCTAAAGAGCAACCGATGCAAACTGACGAGGAGATCCGTGACTCAGTTGACAGAATGACCGATCCGGTCAAAGAAAAGGATTTCTTGCGCTTTTTAGATAGTCTCAAAGACGAATAACCAAACAAAAACCCGGTCAGCAAGGTCCGGGTTTTTGTTTGCCACGCCCTAAATGGGCGCGCCTGGGTTAGTTATAATTTAGGCGACATGCGGAAGGTCGGACTGGACATCGGCAGCAAAACTTGCGGAGTAGCCGTGAGCGACATTTTCAACTTGACTGCCCAGGGCGTGGCCAACTTAATCTATCCCGAAAAAGACTGACTCAACTTGGTTAATCAAATCGAGCAAGTCACTTCGGAATACCAATTCGACACCTTCGTGATCGGTTACCCACGTTTTGCCTCGGGAGACAAACCAACTAACTCCCGACGAATCGATCAAATTTTACCGCTTTTAAAACGGCGTTTTAAAAAAGTTAAAGTGGTGCTAATTGATGAATTTCGCAGTACCAAAAAGGCAACCCAAGTGATGTGCCAAGCGGGACTTTCGCAGCAAAAACAGAAATTGCTTAAAGATCAAATCGCGGCTCAAATTATTCTTGACGAATACTTGACCAGCAGTTTGTAAACAGTTTAAATTTTGCTTAGTTCGTAAGTTTGCTGAACCATGGTGAAAAGAGTGTCGGCAATCGGTTGGGTAAAGTGGCGAGCTAAGTTATATTGGGGATCATAATCCAACTCGTAGATATCGCGTGCGACTGCGTCCTCCTCACCATCTTCGTCTTCAAAGTAACCCGATTCCAAAATGAAGTCTTGGTAAGCCTTGAAAGGAAGCGAGTAGTTGACGTAATCAAAGTTGAGTAAAATCGGGTATTCGCGCGGAATATCGTCGAGATCAATTTCGTCTAATTCGCTTAGTTGGCCGTTACCAAAGAAATAACTGCGCGCCACTTGGTAAGCCCGGTCAAGGTACTCACCAGTCAAATAAGTCGGTCAGATCAGACCGTCAATTAGAAAAATTGGGTTTTCGGGTTTGACGATTCGAACAAAGTTGTCGTCTTCCATCAGCGGAAAGTTATCGTCAGCTCAATAAGCGTCAAGCGCGTCGCCGTTGTATAAAAGCGCCACGTCCCAATCTTTGTTAGGGTCAATCAAATCCATCAACACTTGGGTGCCATCGGTGTCAAACTTGACGTGGTTGGAATTGAGTTTTTGACCAAAACCATCGCTCCCCTCAATCGTGTCTTTAAAACCTTGGATGTGGCTTTGGTAAGTGTCAAAAGTCGGTAAAGAGTTAAAACCACCCGGACTAACTTCCGAACCGATCATTAAGTTATCGCGTACGTAGTCGTTAACGACAATTTTTTGGTAACCACGGTTAGCCAGTGTTTTTAGAATGCCGCGGTACGAACGGTCTGGGAAAAGCGTGTCATACTGCTCAGGATCATCGAGCATATCAAGTTCTTGCTCGTTTCAATCACCTTGACGAGAATCAAAAACGACCACTTTTTCTTGGATAAAGTAGGGCACGCTGTACTCTCATAAGTAATCATCTTGGCCATCGCCAGTTAAATCGCCGAGCGGACTGTAAACTTGGTCAAAGGCGCGGAAAACAAGCGGGGTGTAAATCTCTTCCAATTTTTGCTTAAGATCATCCTTACTTTGGTACTCCCAATTCCACAGCCTCTTAAAATCAATTTTTTGAATTAGTTTTTGCTGAGCAAATTGCTTGATCTGGTAGTCTGAACTCATTCCAACCAAAACGCGCTTTTCTTGCAGAGCCGCTTCTAACTCATCAAGGTCACCAAAGTTAGCGTAACCGTAAGTTTGACCAAGTTCTTTTTCTAAATCCGGGTTAATAAACTGCTGGTAGTTTCAAACTAGTGGATGGCTTTGCCCGCAACTCACGGCCGCAAGCGCTAAAGAACCAACCAGCGGAAAAAGCGCGGCTTTTTTAAGCCAACTTGAACTAACGGACTTTTTCATATTTTTTAACCTTACCTTTCCAAAACGCGTAAACAGTTGAACCACCCACGGTTAAAACCAACAAAATTGTTCCCAGCATTAAAGTCCAGTTTTTGATGTTACTGCTGTAAAGCCTTGTTCCGATCGTCTCGACTTTAGCAACCATGCGCACCAAAATAAAGTCGTCAAAAGAAAGCGTGAGGCTGATCACAAAGGTGGCGACAATAATCGGTAGCATGTGGCGAAAGTAAGTTTTAAACCAAGTTCGGATCGGACCGTAACCAAGATCGTAGGAAGCTTCCAAAAGCGACTTATCAAACTTAACCGAACGAGGGTACATCACGATCAAACCGTAGGGCAAAATTACTACCACGTGCGAAACAATTGCGCGCAACATGCCACCTTCGCTAATGCCAAGCGTCCCAAACAAAAACGAAAACGTGACGGCTAGGGCGATAGCGCTAACGATGTCGGGATTAATCAGGGGAATGTTAGCTGTCCCGTCGACGGCTAATTTAAAGACTCGGTTGCGTTGGCGCCACAAAGCGTAAGTCGTCATCAAACTGAGAATGACCACTCCGACAGCGCTCGCTAATCCGATCAACAGCGAGTTTAAAAAGGCGTGAGCCATTTCCTGAGTGAATAGCTCGTCAAAGCCGCGCAAAGAAAAACCGTTCCAATTAAAAGTTAGATCGCCGCGGTGCGGTGGTACGTTGAACGAGAAAATGGCCGCCATTACGAGCGGAAGGTAAACGAGAATGAGAATCAAAACCACGTAAAAACGTTGGCAAAATGTTCCTAACTTAGACATTAGCGCCTCCCCGGATTTTGCGTCAAAAAGCGGGACCAAGGTAAATTAGTCCGTAGATACTCATCATGACCGCGATTGTAATTAGAGCAATCGTTGAACCAAGCGCTCCGTCGGGTGCTTTAGTTCTGATCCGCGCGTTATCCATGAAATTGCCGATTAGTTTGTAAGATTCACGCATCGGAATTAGTTTCTCAGACACAATGATTGAAGTAGCTGCTAACATGAATACTAAGGCGAACCCAGCCGCTAGAGCGCGCAGTGCGTAGGGTATCACGACGCGTCAAATCGTTCAAAAGCGGTTGAATCCTAAATCCTCGGAAGCTTCGATTAAAGAGCGCGGCATTGAGAGCAAAACCGAGTAGAGCGGAATAATCATGAAAGGTAAGTTAAGGTAAGTTAAACCTAAAATTAGCACGCCCAAGTTATTGAGACTTGACTCTTCAAAAGCGGCCAGCAAAAGACCTTTGAGCGCTAAAACTTTGACAATCGTAAAAACAAATAACGGCGAAACTAGAAAACTAAGCGCGAAGATCCGAAACATCTTGCTGGAGCTGCGAGCGCTAAAATAAGCGTAAACAAAACCGATCACAAGGCAAATGGTAGCGCTAGCTAGACCAACTAAAATTGAGCGACCCATCACGACCCAAGTGGTCGGCATTTTGACTAAGTGCCAGTTGTCAAACTCAGGGCCGACGGGCGCAAAAGCTTTGACAATCAGAAAAACCATCGGCATCAGAATAAAGAGAATCGCAATCGCAAAGTAAGGTAAGAGCAAAGTCAAACGTTTGTTAAACACGTTTTTTTACCTCCTTTTTCATGAGGTGAACTTCCTCCGAGTCCCAGTTAATTCCGACCTTAGTTCCGACTGCGAATTTATGCGTCGCTTGGACGAGTAATACAGGACCTTTGGGACTAATTTTGACGTGGTATTCCCACATTGTTCCCTGGTAGTTAACCCGGGTGATTTCCCCGTTAAGCTGGCCTTTGACGAGCGGTCCGATTTCAATGTCTTCGGGTCTGATGACAATGTCAACCGTTTCGTTAGTTTTGAATCCTTTGGTTAGAGCTTGAAAACTTTTGCCCAGCATACGGACCTTACCCTCACCCAAAACTTTGCCGACAAACAAGTTTGAATAACCAACAAAGTTAGCTACCCAGGCGTTAATCGGCTCGTCATAGATGTCTTGAGCGGTGCCGAACTGCACCACCCGTCCCTCGTTAATCACGGCCACTTTATCCGATAAAGTGAGTGCTTCTTCTTGGTCATGGGTCACGAAAATAAACGTCATGCCCAGTTTGCGTTGAATGTCTTTTAATTCAAGTTGCATTTTCTCGCGAACGCGCATGTCAAGCGCCGATAAAGGCTCGTCTAATAGCAAAACTTCCGGTTTAACCACTAGCGCGCGGGCCAAAGAAACGCGCTGTTTCATGCCGCCCGAAAGTTGATCAATCGTCTTTTTCTCGTTGCCCGTTAGTCCGATCATTTCGATCACTTGGGCTACCTCGCGGTCAATTTCTTGCCGCGTCATTTTCCGCGTTAGGTAACGCTTAGAGTACTGGTTAGTTTTGAGCTGAACGTAATTTTCCCAGTAAGAGTAGTGGAAGTCAGAGTTATCAAGCCACTTCTGAGCTTTTTTGTACTTGCGCGAGCGCGGTTTGTGGCTCGCCATCATAGTTTCATATTCATCTTGCTCACGGTCTAACTTGGTCAGTTTTTCTTCGACCGTTTTGCGCCACTTAACTTGCAAAGCGCTCAGTTGTTCGTGGTACTTAGGCGCCACGTTTTCACGCGGAACCCGGTAAATTTTTAAACCGTATTTGATGTTGTTTTCCACGTTAAGGTGGGGAAACAAAGCGTAGTCTTGAAAAATGGTTTTCGTCGGACGTTTGTACGCCGGTAAGTCTTTCATGTCGCGACCGTTGTAGCGGATTTCACCGCGCGTTGGTCATTCAAAGCCGCCAATCAAACGAAGTGCGGTTGTTTTACCCGATCCTGACGGACCGAGCAAAGTGACAAACTCGCCCCGATTAATCGTCAAATTAAAATCTTGCAAAACAATTTTGTCGTCAAATTGTTGAACAAGATTAACTAACTCAATGATCGGTTTGGTCTGTGGATGCAAACGCGTTGTGTTCATCGGATATTTCTCAACCCCCTTTGGACGTATGATGATTTTTTACGCAAATAGCATTATAAGTTTTTTCACTTTTAAAAACGCTAATTAAATGACTTTGCCGGTTGTTTTTAAATTAAGGTTCGCCGATTGGGGTTAGTTAAGTAAAAAACCGCTCAGGCAGAGCGGTTTTGGGCGGACAACCAAAGTTATTCGACCGTTACTTCGGCGCCAGCTTCGGTTAGTTTTTTCTTAAGGTCTTCGGCTTCCTCAGGTTTAATGTTTTCCTTAATCGGTTTTGGCGCAGCATCAACTAAATTCTTAGCGTCCATCAGACCTAAACCAGTGATTTCCTTAACCACTTTAATGACTGCGATTTTGTTTGGTCCAACCGCTTTAAGCGTAACAGTCACTTCGCTCTTAACTTCTTCAGCCGGCGCTTGACTAGCTGCCGCGGCGCTAACGACTGCCGTTGGGTCAACGCCAAATGTCTCTTTCATAGCCTCAACCAGTTCCATCACTTCCTTAATGGTCATGGATTGCAGACTTTCAATAAATGTTTCCTTAGTTAGTTTGCTCATCTTTTTTCTCCTCTCCCGTCTCGTTTTTTTGCTCAGCGTACTGGTTTAGGGCGATCGCCAAGTAGCGGATCGGCCCAAGCAATGACATCGCTAGCATAGTTAACCCTTCGTCGTAAGAAGGCAGTGCCGCGATTTGGCTAATTCCTTGTTGGTCAAGCACCTCGCCTTCGTAAGTTCCCGCTACTAAGGCTAGTGCGGGATGATCCTTGGCAAAGTTAGCCAGTATTTTAGCGGGTGCATTTTGATCTTGCTCGGTAAAGACAAATAGGTTGGGTCCTTGTAAAAAACGGGCGAGATCTTGGTAAGGTGTTCCGTGCAGAGCTAATTTGAAAAGACGATTTTTGTAAACCTTGGCGCTAATTTGCGCTGCGCTGAGTTTTTCCCGTAAGTTTTGAAGTTCGCGCACAGTCAGTCCGTGGTATTGAGCGACCACTAAACTAGTTACTTGGGCTAGACGAGACTGAATCTCTTCCACCACGCGCTGCTTAACTTCTTTGTTAGTCACGTCAAAATCTCCTTCTTGAGCAAGAGGCAAAACAACGAGTAAATACCAAAAAGCGTTTCACGCACTCGGTAGCTTAATTAAGTCGTGCGACCGCTACGGTCTTAATGCATTGCCAAATCATTATAGACTAAATTTTCACTCTGGCTAAAACAAATAGACTGGCCGTTTCAGCCCGCATGATCCGCGGACCAAGGTAAATCCGCTCAAACCCACTTGCTTTAGCGAGCTCAAGTTCTTGACTGCTTCAACCGCCTTCGGGACCGACTAAAAAAAGGCAGTCCTGGTCAAAGCTAGTTCGGATCGGCTGAACCAGTTTTTCGTCCAAGATGTACTTGTGGCGAGCCTCAATTTTTAGTGCGTCTTGAAAGTTAATTGGGTTGTGAACGTGCAAGGTGTAGTTGCGAAAAGCCTGCTGGCTAGCGCTCTGGGCGATTTTGACTAACCGCTCGGTGCGCTCGGGGCGGTGTTGAACGTGCTCGCTTTGGACTGGCCAAAGTTCACTGACACCTAACTCAGTCGCTTTTTGAACTAACCAAGCAAAGTGCTTTGGTTTTAAAACTGCCGCCGCTAGTTTAACGGGTCGGGCAAATTCATGGTTAGCCGGCAACTCGCGGATGATCACAGCCCGCTTGCCTTCAAGCTTAGTTTCAAAAAACTGACCTTGCCAAACGCAAATAAAAGGGCGCTGACTGATCCGAACCACCTTAATGTGGGCTAGGGTTTGGGAGTCTAAATCAAAGTAGTTACCGACGCGCTTTTGAACAAAAAAACGAAACACTAACTAAACTCCCGCAAAAACTTGTCGTAAGTGCGGTCAACTAATTCGGAAGTTAAATCACGAATTTGCTGGCTTTGTTGGCGTGGTAAAGATGGTAGGTAAATTTTGAGGTGGATGATTAAATCACCGACAAAGTGGTGACGCATTGAAGGCACGCCTTTTTTGGACAATTTAATCGTAGTTTGCGAATCGTAATCCGCGCGCAGTTTAATTTTTTCTTTGCCGTAAGGAGTCGGCACTTCCAAAGTTTTCTCTTGCAAAATGTCAAAAGCCGAGACGGGTATCTCCAGGTGGATGTTGTAGTTATCGCGCACGTAATGCTTATGCTTAGCAATCTTAACCACTAGGTAAAGGTCACCGCTCGGACCGCCGTTGTGGCCACGCTGACCGTAGCCCTTGAAAATAATCGCTTGTCCGTCGGAAATGCCGGCCGGAATTTCGATGGTTGTTTCAACTCTTTCCAGGCGGTCGTTAACCCATTTATCAAGTTTCTGGACGATCTTTTTACCAAAAATAGCGTCTAAAAACTGGATCGTGATTTGACCCTGGATGTTAGCTCCGCGGCGCGGACGCCGACTGCTGTGGCCAAAACCACCGCCGCCAAAAAACGAACTGAAAATGTCGTTGATATCCATGCCGTCGAAACTGCCAAAACCTTCGAACTCAAAACCGCCAAAACCGGCGCTCTGATCAAAAGCCGCGTGGCCATACTGGTCGTAGCGAGCCCTTTTTTGGGGATCTGATAAAACTTCGTAAGCCTCATTAATTTCTTTGAACTTAGCTTCGGCATCGGGTTCTTTATTGCGGTCGGGGTGGTAACGCATCGCTAGTTTGCGAAAAGCGCGCTTAATTTCGTGTTCGGAAGCGTCGCGGTTGACGCCAAGACTTTGGTAATAATCTGGTTTGGATTGTTTTGCCATGTCAAGCCTATTTTAGCACATTAATACTGCGAGTGCTAAACTTTCTTCGCCCGCTTGCAAAGCCGGTTCCTATATAATTTTTGGTAGCATGGCGAAGACAAAAAAGAGATTGCAAATCATTCTTGATTCGTTCACCGGTTACTCAGAAAAAAAACTGACCGGACTCGGTTTTACTTTTGTGCCCCAATTAATTAGCATTGACGATAAAACTTACCAAGACGGTCGCGATATCACGCTTAAGCAAGTGCTCCAACAAATTAGTCAAGCCAAAAAAGTCCACACGTCGCAAGTACCCCAAGTTTTGCTAGAGGAAACTTTTGCCGAACTAGCCAAAAAATTTGAACACGTGATTTACATCCCGATTAACAGCGGAATCTCATCGACTTACCAAAGCGCGATGCAAGTCGCTCAGAGCATGCCCAACGTTCACATCGCCCACGTGAGACTGGTGTCAACGGCGCTAGTTGACACGGCTAATCGCGCCGTCAGTGATTACGAAAAGTACCGTGACATTAAGAAAACGTTAAACCTAATCGAGACAATTAGCCACGCCAGTCACTGTTACTTTGCACCGAAAAACTTAGAAGGCTTTATTCGGGGCGGTCGGCTAAAGGGGACTAAGAAGTTTATTCTCCAAAAAACCGGTCTTATTCCGCGCTTAGTCTTGCGCGATGAAGGCATCAAAGTCAACGGCGTTAAGCGCAGTTTAGCCAAAAATGTTTTTTCAAGTGTGGAAAGAATCGTCCACGCGATCGGTCAGTCGCGCGTGCAAGACTACTACTGGGAAATTGTTCACACCTTTGACCAAGACACGATCAAAATCGCCCGTCAGGCGCTGGAAGCAATCGGAGTTAATAAACCACTTGAGACACCAGCGGCTTCGATCATAGCGGCTCACACGGGCATCGGAGCGATTGGCATTAACGTTTGACCTAAACCTACCAGCGATATCCGCGGTTAACGTGGGGAAAAACTCTTTGCAAAGCGTAAACAATCGTGCTGTAAAGCGGAACGATAATTGGTGTTTTAAGAATGCGCGGCACGAGGTAAAAATCGTACTTGGCAAATAATTCGTGGGGCTCGTAGCCAAGGCGCTGAACAAGGTAACGAATTTGGGCGATCGGACCCCAAAGTCAAACGTAAAACACCACTACGAGGGTGACAATTACAACGACCGAAATCGCTTCTTGAAGTCGCTGCTGGCGACTTTTTAAGTACTTAACTAGCATCATTCCGAAGGCAAAAGCTAAAAAAGCGCAAACACTTCACATCAAAATGTAGACGCCGATTGAGTTAAACAAAAAAGCTTGCTCGGCGTTTTTGCTTTGGGTGACAAACCCGCGGTAAAGCGCCATCGTGATTAGCACCGAAGTTAACGTGCTCGCGACGCTAAAAATGACGCCGGCTAGTCACCAGCGCTGGTGCTGAGTAGTCAAACATTTTTTTAGAAAACCGACTAACAAGACCATGGTCGGATAAATGAGAGCGTACTCTAGCATTCAGCGACCGAGTCCACCACCGACCAGAAGACAAAGGTGGTCAGCGATCAAAGCGATTTTTACCGCCAAAATTGGTCTAAAAATTAAACCGATTGTAATCACCCAGGCGTAGACGATCCCAAAGCGCATGAAACGCAAATTAACGGAAATGAATTTGTAACTAACCACCCAAAGAGCGATGAAGACAGCCGCCAGCGCGACTTCGTAAGTTGAGACGCGCCAGTTTTTTTTCAGCCAAGTTCAAAATTTGTGCGAGATAGTCATCAAACTGATTTTAGATCATTTGATTAAATCGTCTTAGTTTCTTATTCATGGAATACATAGGCTACAAAAAAGTAGCCTTGATATAACAGTTTAATCATCTAGGACTCCTGTAAGATCAATTAAGTTATGAACAATAAAAATAAATTAACAACTCAAGTTGAAAAAAACACTCTACTACAGTCAGATCCGCGGAATCACCAAGGAAAAGTAACTTTAGTAAAATCCCTTAAAGGAATAAAAGAATTAACTACGCGAGAGCAAGATTTACGAAAATTAAATGGAAAATGCGTTGCAATCTACGGGGCTAATGGCACTGGAAAATCTTCGCTTAAAGACGCAATTCTTTGTGAAGAAGAAAATCTTGTTCCCAACTGAGAAACTAAAGATAAACCCTGGGTAAATCAAGACATTATCTTCGGAGAATATTATGCGTGCTTTGACGATAACTTAGTTAACCTAGTCAGAGGCTACAATAAAAACAAGATAAAATTTTTGAACCTAGAGATTACAAACTTAGCTGAACTACTTAACAACAGAGAAAACAGCATTGAGGAAATAAGCCGATTTTATCCTGATTTTCTTTCTTTGTTTAAGGTGGATCTTGAGGACATAAAAAAATCAATCAAATTTGTGGACAAAGCGATTGATACTTGATCATGTATCAGATATCTTCAAAAAAATGCACAAGAGAGTCTATGAATCAACATGAGAAGTCTTTGAAAAAATTTAGTCATATCTATTGATAACTCATGCAGACTAATTAGCAGAGACGATAGATCAATTTACAACTTTGACAATAAGAATGCGCCGTTCGCAGCAAAAGATTTTTTAACAATTTACAGTCTGGTAGAAAAAGAAAAAAAGATAGAAAAAACAGTAATGAATAACTTTTTTCAAAAGCTTAGATGGTTTAGGAAGTATTTAATGCTTATTTACGAACTAATAAGCAACTTTGGTTATCAAAATTACAATAATGAAATTAGTCAGATTGTTGAGCATTATATGTCAATTGAAGGGAATTTATGAGGCACAAAAAGTAATGCGTTCGTGAGTTTAAAAGACTTGACCAAAGAAAAATTGAGAGTGATCAAAAAAATTTGAAATAAAAACGCTAAACAAGTTCAAGCAAATCTTGATCTAGCAAACAATTTGCTTGAGCCTTACAACATTGAATATGAAGTGACTCTTAACAGAACAACAATCAAAAATGAGAGCAAATGCTCTACTACTTTTGGTCTCCGTCACAAAAAAAGCAGAGAAATTGTTGCAAGTAAATTAATAGAAAAATGCGTTTCCTATGGAGAATTCAACATAATTGCTTTAACCCTGTTTATTTCTTCCGTCATCTCTAGAAAGCCTGAAAAACAAAATGCGATTCAAATCTTATTTGACGACCCTGTATCATCCTACGATTTAAGTAAGATTCACATATCTTTAAACATCATAAAGGTTAGACTTTTGAACGATCCTCAAATTAATAGAGTCATTTTTCTGACGCATGAAAAATATTTCATAAAAAAAATAGCTATTATTTCAAAAGCAGGAGAAACCAAATCCGCAATCACTACCATGGCTTTTCAATTGATAAAAGATCAATTTTCTAAGTTAAAAATTTTGAATGTTTATGAAGAAGGAGATATGTTTTTAGTTCAGAAGATCAAAAACAATAAGGACAATAATTTTCATATCTTATCCCAAATTGTTGCATACCGCCAGCATTTAGAAATTAAAGAATTGATTGATGAAGAAGAATTTAGGGAAGAAAAACAAGTACTTAATGTAGTAAAAAAATTTAATATTGATCAATTAAACGAAAATTCTTTCAGAATCCTAAACAAAATTGGTTTATCAGTTAATAACAAAGACGATCTGATGGCGAGCATGAAAAAAGAACCAGATTTTTCTCTGAAAGAAAACATGTTAGCTTTAAGATCGTGACTTGTCTACATTTGTAGCAGAATTTACACAAAAAATAATTCCTTTGATTTTTTTGCAAGGGTTAAAAAAGAATTAGGAAATAATCTTCTCGGACCAAAAATTAAAGCCTTACTAGAAAAATGTGTTCACTATGAATTTACACTTGACAGCATTTCTCATTTTTCTTCTTATCAATTTAGTGCCGATATTTCTAAATTGGATGAAATAACTGACCTATTGTTCGCCAGTCGGAAGAAAATGTTTGAGATATTCGACGAGGTTCTTAAACATTTTGACGTAAATTACAAATTTATACGCACAGTTTATTAGGAAACTTCGTGTATACCCCTTAGCAAGTTCAGAATTTGTGCGAAGTAGTCATCAAATCAATTTTAGAACATTTGAATTAAAAAAACTCTAACCTAGCGGTTAGAGTCAATTGAAATTTAGAAAGACAAATCTTAGGAAATAATCGAAGTAATCGATCCAGCTCCGACGGTGCGTCCGCCTTCACGAATTGAGAACTTAGTTCCCTCTTCAATCGCAACTGGTGAAATTAGGTTCACAGTTAGTTCCACGTTATCACCGGGCATAACCATTTCGGTTCCCTGAGGGAGTTCAATTCCGCCCGTTACGTCAGTAGTACGGAAGTAGAACTGCGGTTTGTAGTTTTTGAAAAACGGTGTGTGACGTCCGCCTTCTTCTTTTTTAAGCGCGTAAACTTGCGCTTTAAAAGTTGAACGAGGCACGATTGAACCTGGCTTAGCTAGCACTTGTCCGCGTTCGATTTGATCTTTGTCAACTCCCCGCAGCAATAGTCCAGCGTTATCGCCCGCTAGAGCTTCGTCCAGCGTTTTACGGAACATTTCGATTCCAGTTACAACTGTTTTTTTAGTGTCACGTAGTCCGACGATTTCAACTTCTTCGCCTGACTTAACGCGACCACGTTCTACGCGACCAGTCGCCACGGTTCCCCGTCCAGTGATAGAGAATACGTCCTCAACAGCCATCAAAAACGGTTTGTCAAGTTCGTGTTTTGGAGTCGGGATGCAGTTGTCAACCGCGTCCATCAGTTCGTAAATTCTTGCTTCAAACTGCGGATCACCTTCCAGCGCCTTAAGCGCTGAACCGCGGATCACCGGCACTTTGTCGCCGTCAAATCCGTACTTAGTTAGCAGCTCGCGAACGTCCATTTCAACTAAGTCAACCATTTCTTCGTCGCCTTCTAACATATCAACTTTGTTTAGAAACGGGATGATCAGCGGCACGCCCACTTGCTTAGCAAGCAAAATGTGCTCACGGGTTTGGGGCATCGGTCCGTCAGTAGCCGACACAACTAAAATTGCGCCGTCCATTTGGGCCGCTCCGGTAATCATATTTTTAACGTAGTCAGCGTGGCCCGGGCAATCAATGTGGGCGTAGTGACGCTTTTCCGTTTCGTACTCAATGTGAGCGGTGTTGATCGTAATTCCCCGCTCTTTTTCCTCAGGCGCGTTGTCAATCGATGCGTAATCTTTCGCTTCGGACAAGCCCTTTTTGGAAAGAACCGTTGCGATCGCGGCTGTTAAAGTCGTTTTCCCGTGGTCAACGTGACCAATGGTACCGATGTTAACGTGTTCTTTTTTTCGATCAAATGCGGTTTTTGCCATGTGTAATTCCTCTCAAATTATCTTTCTTGCACACCTAATTGTAGCAAATTGTCGTGCAATCCAACCACCACTGCCTAGTCTTTCTACTAGAACCTATCCCTAGGATTTGCACTTATTCTTAAAACAATTATACCAAAATATAACAAAAAAATTATGTTAAATCAACGTTTTTGCCCGTGTGGATGTAAGCGATTAGTTCGCAAATGTGGACCACGTAGTTAGTGGCCCGCTCAATCGCGGCGATCACGTTAGTCGCGAAAATAACTGCCATGACTTGTTCTTGCTTGCGGTAACTGGTGATCGAACTAAAGAGCGCCATGCGCGTGTCGTTAGCCAGTTTTTCAATCGCTAGGTCGCGTTTGACTAGGTCAACGGCTAGATCAAAACTTTCCCGACTAATTACTTCGCTCAGTTTTTTGAGCATGCGCAAAAAAGGTTGGTGAACTTTGCTAATCGTGGCTAATAAACTTTGCTTGAGCGGCTTAGCTTTGATAATAAAGCGACCGATGTTTTTGATGTAGTCGCCAATTCTTTCCACGTCCTGAGCAACCATGATGTAGGCCATGGTACGTCTTAAATCTTTGTCGAGCGGTGTTTTAGTAATTAAAAACTCTAAATCGCCGTGAATTTCGTCAAAAAGAGCGTTAACTTGGCGGTCGTCATTGATGATTTTCTGAGCCGCAACCTTGTCATCATTTTCCAGCGCCCGGGCCATTTGACCGTGCTGGTTAAGCACCAAATGGAACATTTTGATCAGTTTTTCCTGAATTCTGCGCGTTTCTAAACGAATAATTGATGTCGCCATTTTTACCCCATTTTACCACGGATGTAATCTTTGGTAAGACGCTGCTTAGGTTTGGTAAAAATCAGCCGCGTTTTATCAAATTCAACCAGTTTACCGAGGTAAAAGAAAGCCGTAAAATCGCTAATTCGGGCCGCCTGCTGCATCGAGTGGGTCACGACAATGATGGTGTACTTTTTCTTCAGTTGGTTCATCAGACGCTCAATTTTGTTGGTGGCAATCGGATCAAGCGCCGAAGTGGGTTCATCCATCAGCAAAACTTCCGGTTCCATCGCGATCGCCCGGGCAATGCAAAGACGTTGCTGTTGACCACCCGAAAGACCAAGCGCGTCGTCAAAAAGGTTGTCCTTGACTTCCTCCCAAAGCGCCGCATCGCGGAGCGCTTTCTCAACGATGTCGTTCAGCTCGCGCGGCGACTTGATGCCACTTGAGCGCGGTCCGTAAGCGACGTTGTCGTAAATTGACATTGGAAACGGATTCGGTTTTTGGAAAACCATCCCCACCCTAGTTCTTAATTCCAGCGGGCTAATCACGTGCGATTTTTTGAGGTGGTAGATCTGTTTTTTGTAATTAGCAATTTTACTTCGCCTTTCCAACGCGGCTGGGTCGGTGGAGCGCAGAGTTTTCATCTCGCGCTTAAGTTGAACGATTTTCGCCTTTAGCTGACGCACTTTGTTCAGGCGGTTTTTTTCGTTTTGGACCGCTTTGGCACGGCGAACTTGCTTTAGCTCCTGTTGACGCGCCACGAGCTCGTCCCGGTCGGGTCCCTTGGTCGCTAAGTTGACTTGCTCAGAAAGGTCGCGAATTTGCTTTTCCAAGTCCGAATCAACTTCCGTGCCGGGCTGGCCTGACCTAGTTAATCCAAACCAATTTGACCAAGCTCTCCTTTGCTGATTAGCGACTAGTTCATACTTGCCGTCAAACTTAATCGAACCAGCCAACTTAACTCCGACAATCAAGTCGTTCATTTTGTTCAGGCAGCGGATAAAAGTTGACTTACCGCATCCCGAAGGTCCGATCAAAGCCGTTACCTTGCGCGGAGGCAAGTCAATCGAAACGTCGACCAAGGCGTGTTTGCGACCCGAGTCGTACCAGAGGTTAAGCTGGTTAACTTGAAATATTGAGTTAGAAATGGTGGGTTTATCGGACATAGGCGTTCATTCGGGCCGCTTGTCGGCGGTTTTTTCAGCGGGTCACAACTCTTCGCAGACGCTGACCGATTCACGGCACGCCCTGGGCTAGGAAAATGATCAGCGTCGTGGCTAAAAGAGCGACCGAGCCAATCTTGTAGGAGAGAGCAATCTGGGAGTGAAAATCAAGCGCTTCGCGGTTATTAGCAAAAACGTCCAAAATGTTGGTGGTCAGCGTGTGACCGGGCAGCAAAATTCCGATGTCAACGATCGAAGTGGCTAGACCAAGGGTCAAAAAGACCGGAGCGGTTTCACCCATAATACGTCCCATGGAAAGGATTGTACCGGAAACGATTCCGATCGTCGCTTGGGGAATGACGATTTTAAATATCGTGCGCGTGCGCGAAGCCCCAAGCGCGTAAGAACCTTGGCGGTACGAATCGGGAATCTTGATCAAAACTTGCTCAATCGAGCGCGTGAAAGTCGGCAAAATAACTAGCACCATCGTCAATGTTCCCGCCAAGAGCGAAAAAGGCACGACCCGGTAAAGGCCGAGCGTTTTGATGAAAAAGACGGCTCCAAAAAGTCCGAACAAGATCGAAGGAGTGCCGCCAAGCGAGTCGAGAAAAAACTTGATTAACTTACCGGCTCTTTTATCACGAACGTACTCCGATAAAAAAAGCGCCGCGCAAAGGGCAAAGGGGAAAGCGATCACAATCGTCAAGCCGATTAGCACCAACGTTCAAACGAGCGGGTGGAGCAAAGTCGAAGGCACCCTTTTAAAACCACCGATAACCGGCTGCAAGTTCGCAAATCGTCAGTCGGACAGTCGGTACTGGGACATGCCGACGATGCAAATGTCTAAGACGATTCAGCCCACGCTCGTCATCACGAGCAGAATGGCGACCATCTCCCAGCTCAGTCGCCAGTAATCGCGACCGTGACTGGTCGAGCTGCGGGCAAAACGAGCGAAGTACTTGGAGTAAGTTTCGTGCGGTGCGCGCTTAAGGCCAAAAGCTTGCCAAACTGTGTAAGACAAAAAGTAGACGGTTCAGCGGAAAAAAAGCCGCAGCTTACCAAGCGTTCAAAGTCCGGCGAAACTGATCAGTTTCAAGGGCAAACTAAAGTAGTACCAAAGCACTACCGACCAGTACAAACTCGCGTTTGAATGGCGATCGATTCGCTGCCAAGGTTTTTGGCCGAGCGGAGAGCGGTTAGTTAGGCGACGCTTTTGGGAAATTTTAGTCACGAAGACTACCAAAACCATGATGATCACAAAAAGCGCTAGGCCGGCCGCAAAAAGCGGACTCGTGTCGCGTCCGTGGTCGGTAAACATGTTTTTGGCGATTAAGACGCCCAGCGTTCCAAAGTCGCTTTGTAAAAAATTTCACAGTCCCTCGGCCAACGGATTAGCGCTGTTAGAAATTAAAATGATTGACAACGCCATTGTCTCACCGATCGCACGCCCGAGGGCCACGATCACGGCGACGTGAACGCCGCTCCGGATCGCTTTTTTGACGCTGGTGTAGGAAACGTAAACTAACGTGTTACCAAGCGCCAAAGAAGAGTTAATCACTTCGCGTGGCACAAGGTAGAGCTGGTTGAGAATTAAAGCGATTAAAGTCGGCAAAATGATGATCACGAGCATCAAAGTTCCGTTCAAAATGGTGTTGCCGTGGTCTGTGCCCAGCACTAAGTTAGTCACCACTTTGAGCGATTTAATCGCGAAAATTCCGAAGACAACCGATGGCACGCCCGCTAAGATGTTAATAGTGGTGCGAAAGACTTGCTTGCCCCGGCGGATCCGAAAGAAAATAAAGTACGCCGCTCTGAGCGCAATCGGAGTCGCGATCAGAGCGGCCAGGAAAGACGTGAAAAGCGTAACCAGTAAGGGCGACCAAATACCCCAGCCACCCGGTTCGCTGAAATAGTTGCTGAGGTACATGTGTCAAAAACCGTAGCGCTGGTAAGCAGGGTAAGCTTCCTTAATTAAGAAACTGAACATCAAAATCAAAGCGACGATCGCCAAAGTGGAGAAGATAAAAACCGTGACTTTGGTAATCAGGTCTTGCAGCGTTTTACGGGCGACTGCTTGACTAAACGAGCGAGAAGCTGGTTTCACACCCACATTTTAACCGAAAAGCCCGTCCTTTGGACGGGCTGAAAAACTAGGTGGCAAAATTAGTTAATTTCTAAGCCAAAGTTTAAACCGTCGATTTGGTTAGCTGAGGGCTTGCCCTGACTCGCTAAGTCTGGCAAAGTCAAAGAACTTGGCGCAGCGGACTGCAAACTAATTTGGGCGGGACTAAGTTTGACAAAACCAAGCCGGGCGATTTCGCCCTGAAACTGTGCGCTTAACAGCGTTTTGACCATTTCTATGACGCGTGGGTTGCGGACGGGGTAAAGAACGTTAAAAGGTCTAATTCAGTCGTAAGTACCGTTTTGGGCGTTTTCAACTGTCGGAGCACCCCAGCCGTCAATTTGAGCCAAGACGACTTTCGACTGGCGGTCGTTTTTAATTATGTAACCGAGCGAGTAGTACATGACCGAGCTCGGGGTGTTGCCGTTTTTACCGTACATCGTGTTTTCTTTGTCTTCAACTTTAGACTCCGGGGCGATGATTGAATCGTCGTGGGTTTGAACTAACTTTTTATCCACCTGAAGCGCTTGAAAACTTGGACTAGCAACGATTTTATCGGTAAAAGCTTCGGCTTTGCCCGAAGTGTCTTTGCCGCCATCAATCGCCAAAGCGCGCGGTTTGCGCTCGGTCTCGCTCAGTGAGTTTGGATCAAGCGCGCTAACTTCGGGATTGGTTAGAAACTCAGATCAAGTTGGGTAGCGCGTGTCGCGCTGGTTCAAGGAGTATGCTGCCACTAAGGCGTCAAATTTGACGCGGGGAATAATGTCGTTGCCGCGGTCTGCGTCGTCAAGCCGGAGAACCTTGGCAATCGGACCGGGCAAGTTCAAACCAATTCCAATCGCGTCCCAGGCAAAAGTTAAAGTACGAATTTGACTGTTAAGCCAGTTGGTTTTTTCTTGCTCAAATCCGGCACTTTGGTTAGCGTAATCAATCCCAGCTACCTTGCCGATTGAACCGGGCGCTTTGCGCGAGGAGGTCATGGCAAAATCGTAAGTGACTTGCCCTTTGGCCATTTCGCGGGCGCCGAGCGTTGAACCTAGGTTCTCGTAGTTAATCGAATGCTGAGTTTTGTCGTTGATGAGACTGGTAATAGCCGTGACCGAGTTGGAACCTTTGCCAGTCAAAACTGGCGGGCTGCCGCAAGCTAGTTGACTGAGGGAAAGAGCGCCGATCACGCCGAGCGAAGTAAGAGTAGAGAAAACTTTTCTTTGAAACATGAATGTCCTTTGGTAGTTAGTTAATCACTAACTTGGGAATTATAGCGGTAATAAAAAAACTAGCGCGAAGCTAGTTTTTATTGAGCATTATTTTGCTGGTTAAACTTACTTGTTTTTCTTTTCTAACCAAGGACGAAGCAAATTGTAGGCGATATCTTCGTCAGTTAATTTGTACGGGTTACGCTCTGGTTTTTGAATCAGCGGAGTTCAGTTGCCTAGGAAAGCGTTGGAGAAATCGTACTTGTTTAAGTAGTTAAGACCGTTACTGTTAATCGTTTTAGCGCTTGGTTTATCTTTGCCGTAAGGACTCGGTGAGTCGGAGTTTAGTGACCAGATTCCCACGTAGGCTAGGTTTTTTTCACCCATTGCTCAGTTGTAGAACTCTTTGGCGTCTTCTAAGGTGAAGACTCCGTTTTTGTGGTCGTTAACACCGATCATCGGAGTCACGCCGACTTTGCTCCAAGCGTCTTTGAGTTTATTATTGCTTCAATGGCTGTTAATCGCTTTAAGAACTTGCTCGTGAGTTCGCTCAGTCGCTGACCTAGCCAAGTCAAAGTTGGTTTTTCCGTCTTTAAGGGCCTGGTTGTAAATACCAACTCCGTAGTCCATTGCCATGATGTTAATAACTGGCATGTCCTCGGGCTTGTTACCCATTACTTTGTAGAGACTAGCCAAAATATCAAGCATGTTTTCTTCGCTCTTAATTAACCCATCTGGTAAAACCGGCAACGTTAGCGAGAATTCTCACTTCGGATTGCTCTTTTTCATGTGAGCCATCGCTGAGAACAAGGTTTTCAGTTCGTTAATTCTTGTCCGCGCGGCTCCCTCAATGTCAAAGTCAATTTTGTAACTCATCTGATCTTTGCCTAAACCGACCAGTTTAGCTAAGTTGAAATTGAACTCTTCTAGTTCTCTTTTAAGGATCTCAGCAGCCTCGTTAATTTGGTTATTAGCTTGTCTGAGCGCGGTGTGCCAAGGGTTTTTCTCGTTATCGCCGGTGTTAAATCCGCCGTATGAAACAGTTAAGTTTTGGAAAATACCGGCTTCCTTAGCGGGTTGAAGAATTTTTGGTACCAAGTGCGAATTGATGAAATCGTCGTTAATCGCGTTTCCGTTTTTAGTTGGCTTGTAGTAGCCCGCAAAACTGAGGTCAACTTTGTCATCGTGAACATTATCTTGCTGAACAAAAGCGAGCGTCAGGTGTTTCAAATCAGGGGCTGTTTTAGTAATTTCCCGCAAATCAACCAGCGGCCAAAGTCCCATGTCAACGTAAGGTGAGTAAACCGTTTTGGTTCCAGCGGTACGCGGATCTTTAACGGTGATACTCTCTTTGCGCAGCGGGTTGGCTGAGAATCAAGTTAGGTGTTTACCAACTTTTTCAAGCTTGCTGTGCACCTGGTTCTCGATTTGACTATTGTCGTGTCCGCCGTCTCAGTCGACTGATTCGTTGCGAATCTCGGTCAAGATTGCCTCTAAATCGGCGTCGCCTTGCGTCCACTTGTAATCAAAGAAACCGGCTAGACTCTTCATGTCTTTGTTGGTGGTTGCGTCTAATTCCTTGGGAAGATCGGCTAATTTGTCAAATTTACCGTTGAAAATTTTGGAGAAAGTTCCCGCTGGGTAAAGTCGACTGTTTCGCAAGTGTGGATCGAGCGGGTTTTGGTCGTTCATGTCGTGGGCTGTTTGTCCGCCTTGGATGAACAGGGACGGATTATCACGGGAAACGTAGAAGTTAGAAATCGAATGCAGACCAAGTTCTTGGGCTAGTTGACGCAGTTTGAAAGCGTCCTCAGCACCGAAGTTATAAGCGGCTTTCTCGCTTCGCACTCCGATTCACGGCGTGATTGAAACGCGGTTCCGGATCAACTTATCGGTGATTTTGTTCTCTTCAAAAAGTTTAGGTGCGTGACCTTTAAGTAGTTCTTTAAACGCAGTCAAACTGTTAGGAAGCATTTTATTTTTGATAGCCTTGAACTCTCAGTCTTGGTCTCTCAACTGTCCTTTGTCGTTAATTTCATCGGTTGGTTGGATGTATCCAGCCACCAAGTTCAAGTTGAAGTTAATTCCCAAAAAGCGGGTGAACTCGTAGAGCGGATAAATGTCATCGCCAATCCGGCTTGGACCATCAGCTGGGTCAAACTTACCTTGTTCCACGCCGATGTTAAGTCCGTCGCGACCAGTTACCAGTGACAGACGAACTTTGAAGGAAGGATCTTGCTCAAGCAAGATTTTCAGAGATCCAGCTAACAGACGAACAGATGAAGCGTACTCGGTACTGCTTTTACGGTTGTAGGGAGCAGAGAAATAAAAGTCAAACGATTTGGTTCCCCACTTTTTAGCAATCTCTTTGAACTGCTCGGCTAGTTGGTACTCGGTGTAGTTGTTAAGGTAAGCCGTGTGCCAAAATGCGTTAGCAAACGGACCAAAGGTAATTGTCAAATCCTCAGGATTAACGCCGTCTTTGACCCACTGGTTCCAACGTTGCTCTTCAAACCATTTACCAGACTCGTTGGCGTCGTCAGGGTTAACCGCGTTCCAAGCTGGTTTAAGTTCCATGGAATCCATCGCATTTTGCATGAATCCGACGTTGAATTTATTGGCAATTCCGTCCTTTTTGAATTGAGCAAGGTCGTTGTAGTTGGCGTTTTGGTAACCTTTTTTATCTAATCAACCTTGGATTTCAGAGCGGTAAGCACCTGGAATGGTCTTGTCTTTTAAAATGTATTCCACCGTGTCGCGCACGATCCCGATGTCAGCGTAAGGAACGTACTCAAGGTCAACGATTTGGTCGTTAATCACCCGCTCGGCCAACGTTGAGCTTTGACTATTAGAACTTTCGCTGATAGCCTGTTGATAAATTTTGTCAATCGGACTTTCAACGGGTCCGTGACCAGTCAGAAGTTTTGATCAGTCGTAAGACATCACGTAGTTACCCAGCATCTGACGCGAGTAGCGGTAACGAAACTCTTCGTTACGTTTAAAAGGTTCAAATTTTTCCTTGAGAACTTTGTCCTTTTGCTCCTGTTCCTTATCTTCTCGTTGCTTCTTTTCCTTCTCGATTTGATCAATCGGTTTAACTGTGTCGTCGCTCTTAGCACCACAAGCTACTAACGAAGCCACGACACCAAAAGGTACCGTCGCTCCAAGCGCCGCCAGCAAGAGTTTGTTTTTCTGCTTTAGCTTAGTCATGTATTCTCCTTTTCCTTGGTCAAGTCAAACTTGGCAAGGTCAGACTATCTGAACAAATTCATTATACCACAAACACTCATTTCCTACCGATAAACTTCTTGTTTAAGCAGGGTAAGTAGTTCATTTGTCAGTGCCAAACTAACTCCTGGGGTCGTGTCAATTGTCAAATCCGGTTTAACCCGCTCTTGGTAGTAGTTTGAACGTCGGGCAATTTGCTGAGCATTTCACCCTTTTTTGTCGCTGAGACGTTTTTGTCTTACCACCGGATTACAGAATAATTTTACCACTTTGACCTTTTTAAGTTCTAGGTAGGGCGAACCCAGCACCGGACATTCGCAAAAATCAAAGTCACTTTGCCCGAGCGTTTGGGCGATCAAAGGGTGAATTAGTTGGTCAATTTGCTCAAGCTCTAAGTGGCCACGGGCCAGCGCCTCGCTGAGAGCCTCCCGCTGCACACCGTGGTCATTAACAAAACGCTCACCAAGCACTTTCTTAATCCGCAAGTAACCCGGTTGGTCAGCCTCGTATAGTTTCTTAACAATTTGGTCGCAGTTCTGAGTTTGGTAGCCGAGCGCGGCTAGTTTGGTCAGCAAAGTCGTTTTGCCCACTCCGGGCGGACCGATCAAAACCGTGCGGAGCACTAATCAACCACGTCTAAGTACTGCAGACTAGCGCGGGTGATGAAGTTGACCGGTTGGTTGAGATGGGGTAAGAAGTAGGTGTCAATTAGTCCCAGCTCGTCAATCTTGACCTTCTTTTCAATCGCGAGCGAGAGCATGTACATCACGCTGGCGTGGTCGGCTTTGGAAGCGATTTGGGCGCCGATGATTTCGCGGGTGTCGCGGTCGAAAACAACTTTGAAAAAGACCTTTTCACGCCGGGGCATAAAAACCGGCTTGTCGTAATCCTCAACTAAAATTGAGCCCACGTTCCGGTGTGAACAACCGACTTCTTGACTTTGGGCCTCGGTCAGACCAGTGCTAGCCAGAGTTCAGCCAAAAACGTGGATCGCGTTGGTGCCTTGGACGCCGTTAAAAGCAAACTGACGCGGTTTTAAAACGTTCAAAGCGGCCACGATACCCGAACGGACCGCGTTGGTAGCGAGCATGACCGGTTTAAAGCAAGCGTCCGGGTTGTATTTTTGAGCTACGCAATCACCGATCGCGTAGATGTCAGGGTCAGACGTCTGGAAAAACTCGTCCACGATAATGCCGCGCTGAGGATCGGTCTCAATTTGGTCGCGGGCCGGTTCAATCCGAGCCCGGAAACCAACGCTGACAATCGCCATGTCGACTTGGTAAGTTGCCTGGTCAGTTTCCACGGCGCGAATGTGGCCTTGCTCATCGCCGGTAAAACGAATCACCTTCTCACCTAGTCGTAAGTCAATGTTCGTGTTTTGCTCGACGCCCTCGACTAACTTGGCACTAATTTCGCGGTCAAAATTGTGGGGCGCGATCGCATCTTGCATCTCAATTAAGTAAACTTTTTTACCGTGCTTATCAAAGGCTTCGGCTAGTTCAACGCCGATGTAACCGGCTCCGATCACGGCCACCGCTTGAACGCTGGGATCGGCTGCTTTGGCGATAATCGACTGGGCGTGTTGGTAGAGCTTGGAAATTAACACGCCCTCCAGGTCAATCCCGGGCCAAGGCGGCTGGACTGGTCAAGAACCCGAACCAATGATCAGTTTGTCGTACGACTCAGTGAACTTGGCGCCGGTCTGTAAATTGGTCACCTCAACCGTTTTTTGGACCGCGTTGATGGCGCTAATTTCGTGACGCATCAAAACTCGAGCGCCCATTTTTTCGAGCTCTTCCAGCGAGGAATAAAAGAGCGTGGCTGGGTTTTCAACTAAACCAGCAACCCACAAAGCGATTCCGCAACCGAGAAACGAAATGTTGTCGTTGCGGTCAAAAATTAAAACTTCGTCGGCCGGGTCTTTTTTTCGCAAAAGCGTTTTGGCTGCCCATGTCCCAGCGTGGTTGCAACCCATGAGAACTATTTTCATATCTTTTTGACTCCTTCTTGGGGTACGAGACCGACCACCAAATCGGCTAAGACGGCGGGGTCAAGGTTGTTAAAGTAATCGTTAAAACCTTGGATCTCGCTCAGTCTCCGTAAAATGTCCGGGCGCGAATAGCGCACTTTCCGGAGGTGGTTTTCGACGTGAGCCACGTCTTTCTTACCGAAAAAATCGCCGTAAAACTTGAGGTCGCTAATTAAACCGTTTTCCACGTTTAAGTAAACCTCAACCAAACCGACGCCGCTGACGTAGAGCGTGTTGTTTAGTTCGTAGTGCGGGTTTTGGCCGTAGTTATGGGCCCAAGTCGCGTACTTGTTAACCCGCAGCGCCTCAATTTGCTGCTTGTCTTCCGGATCAAGTTCGTAAGGTGTGATGCTCGGGAAGTCACGCAACACCTCGGCGAGGAGCATTTCGCAAAACTGGTTAATGCTGAGCGGTTTGTTTAAGTGGTCGCGAATGTTGGTGATCCGACTTTTGACCGAGTCTAAACCTTTGGCTTTGATTTTGAGCGGGTTAACGTTAAGCGCTTTGCTGACGTGGGAAGTTGAAACCGAGAACATGATCGTTCCGTGGTGCAGTATTCAGCCGTTAACCAGCGACTGGGCGCTGCCAGAAAACTTTTTACCGTCGATCAAAATGTCGTTGCGACCCGAGATCTGGGCCTTAATGCCGAGTCGTTCCAGCGTTCTGACCACCGGTTTTAAAAACTTCTTAAAGTTTAGGAAGTGACCGTCTTTCTCTGGCTCAATGAAAGTGAAATTTAAGTTACCAAGGTCGTGGAAGACGGCGCCACCGCCCGTCATCCGGCGGACGACTTTAATCTTGTGTTTCTCGACGTACTCCTGGTTGACTTCCTTGTAGGAGTTTTGGTTTTTGCCGAGCACGATGCAGTTTTCGTTAATTCAAAGCATGAAAAGAGCGGTTGGTTTGTGAACTAAAAAATACTCCTCGGTGGCTAAGTTTTGGTAAACATCGTGGGAAGTTAATCTTAAAAATTGCATTAGACTCCCTGCTTATTGCGGCGGGCTAATTCGACGCTAGTTTCGTGGCGCTGAGGTCTAAAGTCGGCTAACGGAGTAATTTTGGCGTGGATCGCCGCCAGAATGTTTTCCGCCTGGGGATAAATCCAGCGGTCTAAACCAGCGCCCGGCATGATTCAGTTGCGAGCGCCGAGCACAACCGGCGGCGCATCCAACTCGTCAAAAGCTAATTCGCTGAGCGTGGAAGCGACGTGACGCATGAAGTTGTTTCGCTCGGCGCCGTTGTTGACTAAAACGATTTGGCCCGTCTTTTTGAGCGACTTCAAGACGATGTCGTAATCAAAGGGAACCGCCGAACGAGCGTCAATCACCTCGGCACTAATTTTTCAGCGCTTGGCCAACTGCTCGGCCGCTTCGAGCGCCGGATAGAGCGCGCTGCCTAAAGTTACGATCGTCAGATCTTGACCAGTGCGACGAACCACGCCCTGACCGATCTTGACCGCGTAAGACGCTTGGGGCACGCCCGTCTTGACAAATCTCTCGCCCATTCCGTAAAGATTTTGCGTTTCCACAAAAACGACCGGGTTAGGTTCTCTAAGGGCGCTGACCATCAATCCTTTGGCGTCGTAAGGCGTAGCTGGTTGAACTAGTTTGAGACCAGGGATGTGAGCGATCACCGATGTGTAGTCTTGCGAGTGCTGAGCTCCGTAAGTAGCGCCGATCAAAACTCTTAAAACGAGCGGAACGTTGAGCATGCCCCCGGACATTGCCCGTCACTTGGCCATTTGGTTAGCGATCTCATCACCGGCTCGGAAAAGAAAGTCAAAGTACATAATTTCCACCACGGCGCGGCCACCGCAAAGCGCGTAACCGACGGCCGAACCAACGATAGCCGCTTCGCCGATCATGGTGTTAAAAAAGCGGTGGTAAGGAAGCAGTTCGGTTAGTCCGCGTCAAACCGCGTAAGCTCCGCCCCAATCGCGGTGCTCCTGGCCGTAAACGATTAAACCGGGCTGCTCGGTAACTTCTTGGGCGAGAGCCTCAAAAATGGCGTCGCGAATTTGGTACTGGCGCAAAGCCGAAACTTCTCGGCCGTTTTGCTCAAACGCGTAGCGAGCCTTCTTGCTCAGTTGAATGTAGCGGGCGTTCTGACTGAGAGGCTGGCTCAGTTCAACTTCCTTGTGGCGCGGAGATTCGAACGTTTCACGCGGATCCAGCATCATTTCGTCGAGCACGCGGTGGTCGTTTTCCCAGTCTATAAAAGGCGACTTGACCGGGTCAACGTTTAACTGGTAGACTTCAAAAACTAACTCCTCGGCTTGGGCGGTGATTTGCTTAAGCGCGGCCTGATCAAGCGCTTTGGCAGCGAGGATTTCCTTCTCAAAGAGCAAAATCGGATCGTGTTCGCGCCAAGCCTTAACTTCCTCGCCAAGTCGGTAAGGCTCAGCCGCATCGGCTGAAGAGTGCCCTTCGTAGCGGTAGGTCATGAACTCGGTGAGAGTCGGACCTTGCCCAGCCAAGGCGCGCTCGCTTTGACGTCTTTGAGCGTCAATGACAGCCAAAACGTTTTGACCGTTAACCCGCTCGGCTCACATTTGCTCGGGGTTAATGCCCATGCCAACCCGAGCTACGCCCTTACTACCCATCGTTTCGCCGACGGGCTGGCCGCCCATCGCGTACTGATTGTTGATCACGTTGAGCATAAAAGGTGGACGGCGGTCGTAGGGAGCGTCCCAGAGTTCGCGGTACTGGTCCATCGCCACGAAATTGATCGCTTCCCAGACCGGTCCGCAGGTGATGGCGCCGTCGCCGATGTTAGCGATCACTACGCCTGGGCGCTGGTTAATCAGTTTGTAAAGAGCGGCCCCGATCGCAATTGAGGGCGAAGCGCCCACCACGGCGTTGTTGGGGTAGATGCCAAACGGAGTGAAAAACATGTGCATCGAACCACCCATGCCCAAGTTAAGACCCGTCGCCTTAGTAAAAATCTCGGCCAAAACGCTGTAAAGGAAGAAGACCCGGGCGCGTTCTTTGGTTGAGCCAAATTGGCGGTGCTCGCGCAGCATCTGGTCAACCCGGCCACCTTGGTGGTCGGTCATAATTTTTTCTAACGCCTCGTCGCTCAGTTTTCCAATCGCAGTCAGACCCTTAGCGATCACTTCGGCGTGGTTGCGGTGCGTACCGAAGATTAAGTCGTGCTCGTCTAAACTAAAAGCTTGCCCAACGGCGACTGCTTCCTGTCCGATCGAAACGTGGAGCGGACCATCGTACTGGTACTCAACTTGGCGGTAAAAATTGGTGGCTTTGTTTTCCAGAAGCATCTCGTCAAACTTACGGGCCAAGACCATTTGGAAGTAAATTTCCCGCACTTGCTCGACGCTAATTTGCCCAGCTCGCATTTCGTCAACGAGCGTCTTTTGGTATACGTAGCAGGGAATTGACTGCGGCTCGGGGTAATGGCCCTCGCTTAAAATAGAGGGGTTGATCGGTTGAATTTTAGGCATGGGCTACCTCCTGCATAATTAGTTCCTTGAGCAGTTCGGCGACGGTCGGATGGGGAATGACTAAGTCACGCACTAGGTCAACGCTCATCATTTTAGTCACCATCAACCCGGCGATCGCGATAATTTCAGTCGCGTACTGACCGATCATGTGGACCGCTAAAATTTGGCGGGTTTTTTGGTCAACTAACATTTTGACTAGACCGGCGTAGTCGTCAACCTCGGTCACAAAGCGACCCGAGTAAAGCATCGGCATTTTGTAGACTTGGTAGGCAACGCCGTTTCTTTGGAGCTCTTCTTCGCTCGGTCCGACGGTGGCAATTTCGGGATCGGTGTAAATCACGTTCGGGATCGCGTTGTAGTCCACGCTGTCCCAAGTTTGACCCAGCAACTGGTGCACGACCACCTCGGCTTCGCGGTAGGCCGTGTGGGCTAGCATCGAAACGCCGTTCACATCGCCAATCGCATAAACGTTAGCTAAGTTAGTCTGACATTTTTCGTTGGTCACCACCCGACCCTTTTCTAAGTAAAGACCGATTTTTTCAAGACCTAGGTTAGCCGAATTAGGAACGCGCCCAGTCGCCAGCAAAATCTTCTCGTAGGGTATTTGAAAAACTTGTCCAGTCGCCCGGTTTTTGACGCTTAAAAAGTGCTGATCAACTTTGACCGCTTGGTGACCTAAGTAAAATTTGACGCCGCGCTCCTGGTAGTAGTCCAAAATTTGCCGACTAATTTCCTGGTCAAGTCCGCCGCCAACTTGGTCAAAAAACTCAACCACGTGAATCTCGGGACCAAGGTTTTGAAAGTAAGCCGCCATCTCCAAACCAATCACTCCGCCGCCGATAATGACTAGTCGCTTGGGCAACTTTTCTAGAGATAGCACTTCCACGTTAGTGAGAATTTTTTCGCGGTTAGTCAAGAGCTCCTTCAGTCCTTCAATCGGCGGAATGCTAGGCAACGAACCAGTCGCAATCACCAACTTGTCGGCCAGTAGTTCCTGCCCGTCTACTTCCACCAAAAACCCGTCCTGACTTTGGCCTTTAACTTTGCCAAATCCGCGGAAAATGTCGACGCCGTTAGCTTTAACTTTGGCCTCCACGCCTTGAACGAGCAACTTAACTTTTTCGTCTTTGCGACGAACAGCCTGCTGGTGGTCGTAGTGAAAAGAGCCGACTTTCACGCCGTACTTTTCGCCGTGGGCGACGGCTCGGTAAACTTTCCGCGAGTAGAGCAACGCCTTGGAAGGAATGCAACCCACGTTTAAGCACGTTCCTCCGAAAGCATCTTTTTCAATGATGGCCGTTTTGAGATGTTTGCCGATTCGTTCGGCTAGTAAGTAGCCGCCCGGCCCGGCGCCCAAAATGACAACTTGGTAGCGACTAGCCATGGTTCTCCTTTGCAACGAGTTGATCGATCTTTTCAAGCACGGTTTTGAGATCGACTAAAAAACGTCCGCCGTCAGCGCCGTCCACCAGGCGGTGGTCAATCGTGAGCGACAAAGTCAGTGCTTGGTAAAACTCAACCAATCCGGCTTGGTTTTGGCGCGCTCGGAGCGTCAAAGCACCAACGCCTAAAATCGCCGCCTGACCATCGTTAAGAATCGGCGTGAAAGACTCAATCCCGAGCGCGCCCACGTTAGAAATCGTGAACGTTCCCGACTTGAGATCGACCGCCTGGTACTGACCCTGGCGAACGAGTTTGATCATTTGGCGGGCTTGCTCGCTAATCTCTCGCAACGACTTAGCGTTAGCGTGGGTTAAAACCGGCACGATTAGTCCGCCGGGCGTGTCAACGGCGATCGCGATGTGAGCGTGGCGGTGCCCCACGGCGCGCTCGTCAAACACATGGGCGTTAATCGTTTGGCTGTACTTAGGTAAAACGCGCGAAGTCGCAAAGACGACGAGGTCGTTAATTGAAATGCGCGGACCGCCGCTTTGAGCGGCCTTTTTAAAGCGCTGGTGAACTTTGGTTAAATTGCTCGCGTCAACGCTGATCACTAACGTCGCGGCGGCTGATTGCTCCTTTGACTTGAGCATCGCTCGGGCGATCGCCCGGCGCATCGGTTGGTAATCAAAGGGTGAATCGCCGCTGGCTCGCGGCGCCTCGCTCGCCAGCTGTTCAACTAGGTCGGGCTGACTGACTTGGTTGACCGCGCCCTTGATCTTAGCGAGCTGNCCTCGCCAGCCACGACAGTGACGCTTTGCTCCACCGCAAACAAGTGCTAGCTCGGATCAAAACCAAAGCGGCGCGCAAAGTGATGAAAGACGATAAAATTCGCGATCAACTTAACCAACTGACCCACGAAATTATTCAGTTTGAACGGGAAGTGGAAATTAAAAAACGGATCGCCCGGCACAAGTGAAAAATCGCGCGGCGCGAGTCGAAGAAAAACCCCTTTGAACAACCGAACCAAGTTGAGTAGGGAGGATGACGTGGCAAAAAGAACCAAACTAATCTTTAAATCGGCTTGATTAACGAGCGGACTGGTGCTTCTAACGCCCTTCGCGGGTCTAAGTTGCTGGCAAAAACCGCAGGCCATCCAAGCGCAAAAAGACCGTCAGTTAGATCCGTTGCTGGACATCATCGGCAACTTAACCACGCAGCGGATGACCGAGTACCCCAGTCAAGTCGCCCGCCAAAACCAAATCATTGGCGACCTATCAGAACTAGGAGTTAGTCAACGGACACCAACCATCACCGGAGTAGTTTTCCGATTTCGCGTGGTTCGGATTGACGACTTAAAAGGCGAGATTACGCTGGAAGCAGTCGTTCGGAAAAACCAGCAAGTTAGTCGCCGACTAATTTACGTGAGCGGTTTTTACTCCCAAAACTGACACAAACTTAACCAAGCACTGGAACAAATAAACCCCGAACTTAAGACGAGCTGAAACCACTTAAAATCTTCCCAAGTTGCCGAAGTTGGGAAAATTTACCAACTTGAAGATCTCGGCGTAGAGCTAGAAATCCCCGCACTAATTAACTGGAGTGCGCGGATCAAAGTGAAACAGATCAGCGAGCAGACCGGTCAAATTGAGGGCAACTGTCTCCTCACATACGCCGGCGTGGTCGGGACCTTAGCGGTCAAGATCAGCGGATTTGCAATCTAAAGGAAAACGATGAATTCAAAAGTTGAAACGACCGAAGATGCACTAGTTAAAATCAAAATTAACCAATCGTTCATCTCCTACCATCTCCAAGACAAAAACATGCGTTGGACGGCCCTGTTTGTTCACGGCTTTAACTCCTCGAGCGATTTTGCTAAGCCGCTTTTTGGTCTCAAGACTAATTACAACATCATTTCGGTTAATTTGCCCGGCAGTCGCTACCTTGACCACGACGAGGCTGAACTGGGCGTTGACTTTTACGTCAAACTGCTCGAAACATTCATTAAACAAAACGTCAAAAGTCGGAAAATCGTTTTGGTCGGTCACTCGCTCGGCGGCGGTATCGTGGCCGCTCTTAGTCGTCTAGCCAAAGTCAAACGAGTTGTTTACGTGGCGGCGATTAATCCCCACATGATCTACGCCCGCAATTGAACGGCTCTTTACGACTTATTTTTCGGCCAGGGAATTCACAAAAGTATCAAAAATATGGTTCTCAAAGCGGGGGCGAGAATTTACGAATCGCTGGTTGACAAAAACGCGGTCGTCAGAGAAATTTGCGACCAGAAAGGTCGCTTTGTTCCGATCATTAAAAACTACTTACTTAACACCGAGTACATGAGCGAAATTCTCAAAAACCAGTACCACCAAAGTCTGCGCAAAAAACCGCTCTTTATCATCGGCGACCAGGACCGCGTAGTTGAAACAAGTCGCTTTGTTAACTTTGTTGAACAAGACCTAGGTCAAAAAGTGATTGTTTTGCCCCGCACTAAACACAATCCCTTTCTGACCCAAGCCGATCCGATCAACGAAATTCTCAACCAAATCATGCCCGCTAAAAAACGTTTCTTCCGCCGCAACCTAATTAAAGTGCGTCCTGGCCAACTCGTGCAATCAATCGCTGTCAAAAACGCCAAAAACGTTCAAAAGCCAAACCGCGGTGACTAATTTGGTTTTTGCTGACTAAGTCAAGCTCGGCCATGACACGCTTTTGTTCAGGCAAGTAAAAGGCTGGGTCAAAACCAAACCCGTCCGGACCGACTGGAACCACCAATCGTCCGGCTACTTGACCTTCAAAAACTTGGACGCCGTTCTCGTCACAATAAGCAATCGCGCAGTGGTAACGGCAAGTCGGATCTTGTTGGCCCAGCAACGCCAAAAGGGCCAGCGACTTGACCCGGAACGGAGCCTCGCTGAGTCAGCGGCGCGAGTAAAGACCGGGAAAATTTCCCAGCGCCGGAATTTCCAACCCCGAATCATCGGCCAAAACTGGCCGACGGTAAAGTTGGTAGTAAAAGCGGGCTTTGAAAGCCGCGTTGGCGGCAAAACTGTTCCCTTCCTCGGGCACGTCGGGTAAACTTGGCTTGCTGACCAATTGGCCGGCTAACTGCTCGGGGTCGTAACTTTTCCAAAGCGCCTCGAACTCCTCAATTTTGTGCTGATTAGTGGTGGCTAATAAAATTTTTAGCATGCTCGGGTCTGCCTTTTGCGACTTGGAACTTGGTAGTCGCAAGCGTAAAGCAAGCCGTCTTGGCAAACGATCACTGGTGCGCCAGTGATCTTTTCGAGACACGCCCGGAAAACTTTGATCCGCGTCTTGCCAGCGCCAAGTAGCGCGCCGGGAATGGGACTAAGCGCTCGGATCCGGTTCAGCGTTTGCGCAAGAGTGAGGTGCTGACCGAGCGTTCGGAACTGCTCGTCAATTTTGTGCGTTTGGGTCGCTTTTTGATCGTCTTGAGGCTCGGGGTTAACTTGACCAACCGCAACCTTAGTTAGTCAACCGATGATGTTCGCGTTAGTCAGTTCCACCACTTTAGTTAGCGCACTCGCTAAGTTGTCCTGCTGAGTCAAAGCAGTTTCGGCTCTAAAATAAACCGGTCCGCTGTCGATCTGACGGACCATCTCCACTAACGTAACACCGGTCTGGCTGACTCCGTCTGAAAGAGCGTAATGGACCGGGCTTGGACCGCGGTAAAGCGGTAAAAGCGAGGCGTGAATGTTAAGCGATTTGAGTCTCCCCAGCGCGAGCACTTGGTCGGGCAGCCAAAAACCGTAAGCAAAAGTCAGCAGTAAATCGAAATCCAAATTTTTGAGCAGCTCTGCTAGCTGGCTGGCGCGAGTCGGTTTGAACAGTCGGTAGCCGCGCCGAGTCGCCCACCGGCTGACGGGCGTCGGGGTTAAAATTTGGCCCCGGCCGACTTTGGCGTCGGGTTTGGAAATAACGGCCACCACCTCAAAGTGCTGGGCGATCAGATCAAAGGTGTCCACCACAAAAAACGGACTGCCGGCTAAGACAATTTTCACTTTAGTCCTTGCTCGTTTGGACGCGGCGTTCGTAAACGATCTTGTCGCGCGTGCGAAAACTTAGGTTAGCTTTCAACGTTCGGGCGGTCTGTTTTTTGACTTTGGCGGGCAAACTGACGGGCAGTTTGACGCTAATTTGGTCAAGTGCGGCAAAAAGGTCAACTTGCCGAACTAAAACCACGTGAGCCGGCAAGTTGGTAATTTCGACGAGCGCGGTTTTGTTGGAGTAAACCACCAGCGACAAAGTCGCTAACTTAGTCGGTAAAAACGGTTGGAGCAGTTTTATGTTGAGATCGTTTTCTAAAACGGAGTTAGTGACTAGTTCGGTCTTAGCTTGGTAAGTGCGCTTTCAAGTCGGCTGACTAGCATCGCCTTGGATGACCCCTCTCAGCGACTTGATTTTGACTACGACGAGCGCCTGACTGGTGATTAAAATTCCGTCGATTTGGAGCCACTCGTTTTGCTCGTTTTTGAAGAGCGCCGATTCGATGTATTTATTGCCGGTGTGACGAGCCCAAAGTTTAATGTCGTCGGCGATCGCTTTTTGAGCGACTTGCCCAACCCGGCGGACTAGTTTCTGGTAGACATAACTTTTGATTAAGTAGTAGACTAGAAAAACCGCCCCGACTAACATGAACGTGACACCGCCAACGATCCCGATGTAATAACCTAAACTAACCTGGGGTCAAGCCAGCGCGTGGGCAAAGTCAAAACTAGTCCGGAACATTACCAAGATTATAAGTGTAAAAATCGCCGTAGAAAAGAAAAATTTGCGTATAATTGATCTAACTTTTGCGGAGGAGTCTATGGCCAGCATTAAAGCCAAAATTAAAAACATCGCCAAAATCAAACGTCAAAACGTTCGTAACCGTGCGATCAAGTCCCAAGTCAAAACGGCGCTTAAAAAAGCTCGTCAAGCTGTTTTGACTGACCCTTCCCAAAGTAAGGCGCTCGTTTCTAAGGCTCACAAAGTGATTAACAAAGCCGTTAGTAAAGGCGTACTGCATCCCAACAACGGCAGCCGTAAAGTTTCTCGTCTTGATCTTTTTGTGAGTCAAAAAAGTCAAACTCCACCGACCGAAACTAAAGCAGCCGTTCCAACCACTCCAACTCCCGAAAATTAATCTTGCCTACTCGTCGCCCAGCGAAGCCGGATCCAAGTTATGGTAAACGGCTTGGACATCTTCATCGGCTTCAATTTTTTCAACTAAATTAAGAATTTTGCGCGCTTTCTCAGGTGGCAGCTTGACCTCTAAGTTAGGCAAAAAAGTCACTTCTGCGCTCAGTCAATCGCTAATCCCACGTTTTTCAAGCGCCGTTTTGACCGCTTGAAAATCTTGGGGGGACGTTTCGACAAAGTAACTCTCGGAACCGACTTCAAAATCTTGGGCGCCGCTCTCGAGACTGTTCAACATCCACTGGTCGTCGCTTTGGTTAGCGCTGCGAGCAAACTCGAGCAATCCCTTCCGCTCAAAAATGTAACTGACGGCCGAAGCGCTGACCACGCTGCCGTTAGCTTTGTTAAAGTAGGACTGGATCGATGAACTGACGCGGTTGGCGTTGTCGGCTAGGCAAATAACTAAGAAAGCGACTCCGTTCACGTTAGCCCCGTAAACGAACTCCTTGTAGTTTTGACCAGCTCCGCTGCCGCTCGCTTTTTGGATCGCGTTCTCAATGTTTTTCTTGGGCATTGAGGCCGCCCGAGCTTTGCTAATCGCGTTTCTAAGCGTCGGGTTAGCTTGCGGATCGGCTCCGCCCAGACTGACGGCAACCATAATTTCCTTGGATATTTTTGCAAAAGTTTGGGCCCTTTTGACGTCCTGGGCCCCCTTGCGGTGTTTGATGTTCGCTCATTTGCTGTGTCCGGCCATTAGTTATAATGGATTATATTATGAAGTGGCTCAAGGTCATCAAAATCCTCGCTTTTCCCAGACTCAAAAAAGCTGCCCGGCAAGAGTACTTACCTTTTCTCAACCAAAGCCCAATCGCCGACACGCTGGTCGTTTCGCACACCTTGCACCGCCAAACTTACCAGTGGTTGCGCAAGTTCAAAACACCCCAGTACAACCGCATGTGACTTTTACGCAAAAAAAAGGCTTTTAACACCTTGTTTTTCCAACAACCTTACGACGTAGTTGTTTGTGACCGTTACGGCAACGTTTTGGCAACTTTTGTTAACTTAGCGAGCGGCTATGTTTCAAGTTATTACCCGAGCGCTTACTTCATTTACTTCATGGTGGTCGGATCAATCAAGTTTTACGACATTCGTCCCAGTGACCGGCTGACCTTTAAACGTCTTTTGCCGAGTTTGCAAATTCTTCAGGACTTAATGGGCTTAAAGTAGGCGCGCGTTTGTGGGCGCTGGCCTTGATCAAAGCGCTGATTTTCTCGCGGCTGGACGTTGGAACTGGTTCGCCCGCTAAAAAAGCGTCGATTTCTAAGTACGAAACTCCGAGCTCCTGCTCATCGCTTTGACCTGGGTAAAGGTTAGCGCTCGGAGTTTGCTGGATAATTTTTTCCGGCACGCCAAGCTCGCGAGCGAGCTCCCAAACCTCAGTTTTGCTGAGGTGTAAGAGCGGAAAAAGATCCGCTCCGCTGTCGCCGTGCTTAGTAAAGTAACCTAAACTTCACTCAGCGCGGTTAGTTGTGCCAACCACCAAAAATTGCTTTTCTTGGCCCAAAGCGTAAAGAGTTAGCATCCTCAGACGCGGCATGATGTTAATCCGCGCTAGGTGAGTAGTTAAGTCCATCTGCTGAACTAAAAGGCGGTAAGCGCTTGTCAAATCAACTAGGCGCGTCGGTAAATCCAACTGCTTGGCCACTAAGCGGGCGCTTGCGATTTCGTTTTCCCGCTCAATCGGCATTAAAAGCGCTAAGGCTTGCTTGCCAACCGCCTCCTTGACTAGACTAGCAACCACGGCCGAATCAACGCCGCCTGAGAGACCAAAAATTAACCCTTTGGCTCTACTAGCGCGCAGTTTCTCCCGGAGTCAACTAACTAAGTAAGCGCGGTAAGTTTTCATTTCCAGTTGCTCCAAATTATAAATCAGGATCGCTTTGCCAAGTCAGTTGGTGGCCGAAAATGCTCACGCTATCACCCGGCTTAGCCGCCAGTTTGGCGAGCTGATCCCAAACGCCGAGCTGGCGCATCTTGCGGTTAAAACGCCGGATATTGTCGAGCGAATTGAGCGGAATGCGCTGGCAAACTTTTTCAACCTCGCTGCCTGTGACCGCAAAGCTGTTTGGACCAGTCCGTCTGACCAAAGTCGGCTCGCTAGTTTGCTCAAGTTCAATCGTCAATGCTAACTCCTCGCCCTGGTCCTGAGCGGTTGAGCGATTTTTTTCCAAAAGCGCGGTCACGCGGGCTTTGAGCGTTTCAAGTCCGGCGCCGGTCTTAGCCGAAACAGCCAAAACTTGGTCTGGTCCCAACTTTTGCACGAGCGTCTTAAAACGTTTTTCAAAGCCGGAACAATCGCTTTTGTTAGCCACGACTAACTCGGGCAAGTCGGCTAAGCGCTGGTCAAAACTAGTCAGTTCGTTACGAATCGTTTGGTAGTTCTTTGACAAGTCATCGTCGGCTTGACCAAGGTCAAGCACGTGCAAAATCACCCGTGTTCGCTGGATGTGTTTTAAAAAGGCGTGACCAAGACCTTTGCCTTGACTCGCTCCGGCGATCAAACCCGGCAGATCAGCCAGCACAAACGAAAAATCGCCGACTTTGACCAGGCCAAGTTGGGGTACGAGCGTGGTAAAAGGGTAATCAGCCACTTTGGCTTTCGCTTTGGAAAGCCGACCCAGCAAAGACGATTTGCCGACCGAAGGCAGTCCGACTAGTCCCACGTCGGCCAAAACTTTAAGACTCAAATCGAGGCGGCGTTTTTGGCCCGGTCGACCGTTTTCACAAAGTCGCGGAGCCGGGTTGCGAGCCGACTTAAACCGGGCGTTGCCATGGCCACCAACTCCGCCGCGGGCCACTAGGTAATTTTCCGAACTTACCACGTCGTGGACCAGTTTTCCCCGCTCGTAAACAAGCGTGCCAAGCGGCACTTTCACGACTAGATCTTGACCGCTGGCGCCGGTTCGGTTCTTGGACTGGCCGCTAGAACCCTGCTCGGCCTGAATAATCTTAAGTTGGTGGAGATGAACGAGCGTGTTGAGTCCGCTTTCACCGCGCAAAAAGACGTTGCCGCCGCGACCGCCGTCACCGCCGTCAGGTCCGCCCCGGGGAACTTTTTTCTCGCGTCGAAACGAAATAACGCCGTCACCACCGCGCCCGGCGCGCACTTCAATTTGGCATTCGTCAACGAATTTCATGCCCTAATTTTAGCCTTTCTAGCTCTTAGCCCCACTCGGCCATGATGTTGGTTTTAAAGCGCGCGTAGAAGAAGGCGCCGATCCGAATGATCGTCGCAATCATGTAGCCGCGCGTAAAACGCACTAGCCCAAAGAAAGCTCCGCTCAAAATTAGTCGCCCGTACTTAGGTTGGAGTGCCAAGAGCATTTTTAGCGTTTCCATGATCGCCCGGTGCTTAGCAGAGATGCGCGGGTCTTTCACAATGATTAAAATGCGCCACTGGGCTAAACGACGGAGTGCGACGATCGCGTAGAGCAGCATTTTACGGGAGTAAATTTTGTCAAGGTTAACTTGCTGTCAGATGGTCGTTAACACTTCCAGTTGGTGAGCCGCGTTTTTGACCATCACTTTAATGTTGATCGACTGTTCATCGCGCCCGACGTAGTAGCGGTACAGGGGTAGGGGCAAGTAGTAGAAAGACTTGACTTGGAGGAGCGGAATCAAAGCGAACTGACTGTCGGTGTAGTAAATCCCTTCCAGCTGGCGGTACTTAATCCGGCGCAAAAAATCGAGTCGGTAAACGAGCGAATGCATCGTAATTAGGTCGCTCGGTAAGGCGATTTGGCGCGTGTCAATGATCCGAAACGGCTCGATGTAAGCGCGGAAAGTTTTCCGGTAAGTTTTGTTAACTCCGATTTTTTCAAACGTGTGGTCGGTCACAATCACGTCAACTTGGGCCGACAAACCGGCGCTAATGTAAAGCAGTTTAATGAAATCTTCGGTGCTGAAGGTGTCGTCAACGTCCAAAATTTTAAAGTAGACGCCGCGGGCTAAACTGAGGGCGCGGTTGATGACGCTCCCGTACTGCCCGTTGGGCTTGGCCACCACGCGGATAAACTCGGGTCGGACTAGCTCGTTTAACTCGCGGGCTAGTCCGCGGGCGATCCGGAGCGAATCGTCGGTTGAGCCATCGTCGATCACGATTACTTCGTAAAGCCGAGTTAAGTTGCGCTTGATTAGTTGGTGGTTGACGATCGAGTGGATCGCAAGTGGCAAAAATTTTTGTCCGTTATAGCAGGGAATAACGAGCGAGTAGAGTGGTCTTTTCATCGCTAACCCGGGGCTTTCCCAAGCAATTGGGCTGCTTTCTCAAGCGCGATTTTAACCGCCTGGTCCATGTTAATGTACTTAAACGTGGCTAGGCGACCAACCAGATGAAGGTTGGGGTACTGACGAGCTAACTCCTGGTATTTTTGGTAGGCCACCTTAGCTTGGTCAGTCATCATCGGGTAGTAGCGCGTTCCAAAGCGGGGCGAACCCGGTTGGTAAGCTCCTGGGTACTCGCGGGTGATGACAGTTTTACCGACCACCTTTTGACCGGTCATGTGTTTGTACTCGCTAATTCTAGTCATGGTCGGATCGGCCGGGTAGTTGACCACTCCCACGGGTTGAAACTGATCCCGCGCCAAAGTTTGGACTTTAATGTCGAGCGAACGGTACTCAAGCAGTCCGTAGCGGTAGTTGAAAAGGTGGTCGATGGGACCGGTGTAAACGAGCGGTACTTTGACTTGTTTAGCCCGGTAGTAAATTTTGCCATCGCGAAAACTGATCAAGTTGCTGGCGTCGGTCTTTAAAATCACTTTGATATTTTTGTGGGCGAGCATTTTTTCCACGCTCTTGGTGTAACCTTCGATCGGCAAGCCCTCGTACTTATCAAAGAAGTAACGGTCCTGGTAGCCGATCGTGACTGGCACGCGGGCTAAAACGCTCGGATCAAGCTCGCTCGGATCTTTGCCCCACATTTTGCGGGTGTAGTTGGCAAAAATTTTTCGGTAAACAAAGTCGGCTACCTTTTGAACGAGCGGATCAGCGTTTTGGCGTAACTCGCCGATCGTGACGCGCTTGTCAGTGCCGTAAGTACTGGTTAAAATGTTTTTGATTTGCTCCGCTTGGTCGGGAAAAAAGCGGTCCACGCCCGTGAAGTTAAAGGGAATCGGGATTAAGTGCTGGTCAACTTGCCCGAGCACGCGGTTGTGGTAGCCGTTTAACTTTCAGAACTGACTCATAAAACGGTAAACGCTTTCGTCGTTAGTGTGGAAAATGTGGGGACCGTAAACGTGGGTCATCACGCCCGAAACGGACTGGTCATAGATGTGACCACCCACGTGCTCGCGCTCTTCAATCACTAAAACCGTCCAGCCAGCTTGAGCCGCCTCGTGAGCGATAACGGCCCCCGAAAGTCCGGCGCCGATGATCAGAATATCCATTGTATAATTGCTATTATAGTTCAATTGGTTGGATTGGCAAAACCGGGGCCAAAAGACGGTTTCTCCGCCGATTAACTACCAATAAAACGCCATTTTATGGTATAATTTGTGAGTAATTTACTTTTAAAGTAAATCGGGTTAACAAGGGGTTTTAGTGCAAAAATACGATTCGACCAGTATCGCGGTTTTAGAAGGTTTAGAGCCGGTTCGCACCCGGCCAGGTATGTACATCGGCGGGACCGGAACGCGCGGACTGCACCACTTAGTTTGGGAAATTTTAGATAACTCGGTTGACGAAGCGATGGCTAACTTTGCCACTAAAATTGACATCGTCTTGGACGCAGAGGGCGGCGTGACGATTAGCGATAACGGCCGCGGAATTCCGATTGACATTCACCCGGCGACTGGTCTTTCCACGCTTGAAACAGTCTTGACCCGTTTGCACGCCGGCGGCAAATTTGACTCCGAAACTTACAAAGTTTCCGGCGGACTGCACGGAGTCGGCGCTTCGGTGGTCAACGCTTTGGCGAGCGTTTTCGAAGTTTGGGTCGAGCGCGAAGGCAAAGTCCACTACCTAAAGTTTGAAAACGGCGGTCAGCCGACGGGACCACTGGCGGTGATCGGCACCAGCACAGCCACCGGCACGAAAGTACGTTTTGTGCCCGACTTCACGATCATGGAAAAAAACGAGTGGGATTTTGCTGGGATCGTTGATCGCGTTCGCCAAACCGCTTACTTAAACCGCAACTTGGCGCTGAGCGTGGTCGACGCCCGGAGCCAGCAAGTTATCGAGCGCAAGTTTTGCTTTGCGGGCGGAATCAAACAGTACGTTAGCGATCTTAACGTCGGCAAAACGGCTCTCCACGAGCAAATCATTTACGCCCAAGGTGAATTTAGCGGTGAAAAAGGCACCGTCCAAGTCGAAGTCGCCCTCCAGTACGACCAAGCCTTCCAAAGCAACATCGTTTCCTACGCCAACAACATCGCCACTAACGAAGGCGGATCCCACGTGACCGGTTTTATGGACGCGCTAGTCAGAATTTTGAACAACTACGCCGAGGAAAACAAGATCTTTAAAAACGAGAAGGAAAAGTTGGCCCGGGAAGACGTCAAAGAAGGGTGCACGGCCATCATCTCAGTTCGCCACCCCGAACCGATGTTTGAAGGGCAAACCAAGGGTAAACTGGCCAACCGCGATGCCCGCACGGCAACCAACAAAATTTTGTCGCACAGTTTGGAAAGATTTCTGCTGGAAAACCCCTACGAAGCCCGCCAAATTATTGATAAAGTCATGCTAACCCAGCGCGCGCGGTTTAACGCCCAGGCGGCCCGCGAAGCAACTTTCCGCAAGGACGCCTTTGAAATCGGTTCTTTGCCCGGCAAACTAGCCGATTGCTCAACCAAAAGCGCGGTTGACTCAGAACTGTTTATCGTCGAGGGTAACTCGGCCGGTGGCAGTGCCAAGCTCGGTCGCAACCGGGAAATTCAAGCCATTTTACCGCTGCGCGGGAAAGTGATTAACGCCCAAAAAGCCCACCTTGATAAAGTCTTTAAAAATAACGAAATCGGTTCTCTCATCACAGCTCTTGGCACCGGCGTGGCCAGCGAATTTGACCTCCAAAAACTGCGCTACTACAAAGTGATCATCATGACCGACGCTGACGTTGACGGAGCCCACATCCGAACTTTGCTGCTAACTTTCTTATACCGCCACATGCGACCTCTGATTGAGTACGGCTTTGTTTACATCGCTCAGCCGCCGCTTTATAAAATCACCACCAGTCGGCAAACTTTTTACGCTTACAGCGAAAAGGAAAAGGAAGAGATAGTTGCCGAGCTGGCGCCAAGTTCTAAAATCGCTCTCCAGCGCTACAAAGGTCTGGGAGAAATGAACCCTGGTCAGCTCTGGGAAACAACCATGGACCCCGAACGCCGCAAAATGTACCAGGTTCAAATCGAAGACGCGGCTGCGGCCGACTTAACTTTTTCAATTTTAATGGGTGACGACGTGGAAAAACGCCGCGAATTCATTCAGGAAAACGCCCGCTACGCCCGGGTTGAGGTTTAACGGAGAACTATGTTTAACAACTTTGACGACGACGATAAAAAATACCAGGGCGAGGACGAAAAAATCGCGACTGTCTTTGGCGACCAAACTGAACCCGAACTTGACCAAGCAAAGAGCGCTGAGGTCGACTCTTCACCAGAAACTAAGCCAGAGCCAGAAATAGCTTCCCAACTGATTACCGACGACACCGACGGACTTTCGCCGATCGGAATTTCCAAGGAGATGCGCCAATCGTTTTTGGAGTACGCCATGTCAGTCATCGTGGCTCGGGCTCTGCCCGACGCTCGCGACGGACTTAAGCCGGTTCACCGCCGCATTCTTTACGGTCTCCACGAACTCGGCCTTTTACCTAACGTCGCCTACAAAAAATCAGCCCGGATCGTCGGAGACGTGCTTGGTAAGTACCACCCGCACGGCGACAGCCCCGTTTACGAAGCGATGGTCCGGATGGCGCAAGACTTTTCAATGCGCTACCTACTGGTTGACGGACACGGTAACTTCGGTTCCATCGACGGCGACCCAGCCGCAGCGATGCGTTACACCGAAGCGCGCATGTCCAAACACGCTGCTCTGATGCTCGACGGAATTAGAAAAGAAACGGTTGACTTTGTTGACAACTACGATTCTTCCGAAAAAGAACCGGCTGTTTTGCCGGCTCGTTTTCCGAACCTACTCGCTAACGGCGCGACGGGGATCGCGGTCGGAATGGCGACTAACATCCCGCCCCACAACTTAAGCGAAACGATTGAAGCGCTTGTCATGTTGGCCGAAAACCCCGACGCTAGCACCGAGGATCTCATGCAAGTTTTACCGGCGCCCGACTTTCCAACCGGCGGCATTATTACCGGCGTGCACGGACTGCGCCAAGCTTACCAAACTGGCCGCGGATCGGTCTGCATTCGTTCTAAAACCGAAATTGAAACGCTTAAAAACGGCAAACACCGGATCATCGTCACCGAAATTCCCTACCTTGTTAACAAAGCCCACCTAGTCGAAAGAATCGCCGAACTGGTTAAAAATAAAGCTCTTGAGGGCATCACCGATTTGCGCGACGAGACTTCTCGCCACGGAATGCGGATTGTGATCGAACTTAGACGCGATGTCGTGCCCGAGGTCGTCCGCAACCACCTTTTCAAAATGACTAATTTGCAAACTAACTTCAGCATCAACATGCTCGCTCTCGTGGGCGGCCAGCCCCAAACGCTCGGACTAAGAGACTTACTGAGCGTTTACTTGGAGCACCAAGTTGAGGTGCTGACCCGCCGGACAACTTACGATTTAAACAAAGCCGAAAGTCGCGCCCACGTTTTAAAAGGTCTTAAAGTTGCCGTTGAAAACATTGACGCCGTGATCCAAATCATCAAAAAAGCCGAACACGACCAGGCGGCGCAAACCAATTTGCAAACTCGCTTTAATTTGACACCCGAACAAACTAAAGCGATCATCGACATGCGCCTGGGACGACTGACTAGTCTAGCGACTGAAAAAATGCGCGAAGAGTTGGCCGATTTAGAAAAGCAAATTACCGAACTAAAAGCAATTTTGGCCGATAAAAACTTGCTGATTCAAACGATTATCAGCGAACTAAGGGAAATTCAAACTAAGTACAGCGACGTCCGTCGCAGTCAAATCGTGGAAGGACTAATTGCCATTGATGACGAAGACTTAATTCCCCAAAAAGACATCGCCATTACCATGAGCGCCAAAGGCTACGTCAAAAGAGTGCCGCTCGAACAGTTTCAAATCCAGCGCCGGGGCGGTGTCGGAGCGCGCTCAATGAGCACTTACGAAGACGACAGTGTCGACGCAATTTTGACCACTTCAACCCACACCGACTTACTAATTTTTACCTCGGTTGGCAAAGTCTACCGCATCCGAGCTCACCAAGTACCCGAGTCTTCCAAACAAGCCAAGGGAACGCCGTTTGTAAACGTGATTCCTGATCTAGACAAAAACGAGAAAGTCGTCTCTCTGCTCAGTCTCAACCAGTACCAAAAAGAGCACTACCTTTTAACTGCCACCCAGCAAGGAGTGGTTAAGCGCACCTCGCTCAGCGAGTACGCGCGGATTAACCGTAACGGTAAAAAAGCGCTCGGACTGCGCGAAGAAGACGTGTTAGTGCGCGCGCTAATCGTCAAAGAAGGCGACCAAATCGTGCTTGGTTCTTCCGGCGGTCGGGTGGCTCGCTTTGGAGTCGAGCAAATTCGTCCGATGGGTCGCGGTGCGGCCGGAGTGCGCGGCATTAAACTGAACTTGGCGGCCGGCGAAAAACTAGTCGGCCTGTCTTACTCGCGCCACGCGGATGACAAACTGCTCGCAATCGGTGAGCACGGGTTTGGAAAACTGACTCCGATTGACCAGTACCGGCAAACTAACCGCGGCGCCAAGGGTGTGATTAGTCTTAACACAGCTAAAGCCGGTCAGCTGCGGTTTGTGCGGATTGTCAAAGGTTACGAAGACTTGCTAGTGACCACCAAAAAAGGCATCACCATTCGCACGGCGCTTGACCAAGTCAGCGTCAGCGGGAGAGCGACCAAGGGCGTTAAAATAATTACGCTGGGAGCAAACAACGCCATCCAATCGCTGTCTGTCATTGACAGCGCTAAGATCGAGCAAAAAGTTGAGGAAGCAATCCGGAAAACCCAGGAAATCCAACTCGCCCAAACAAAGACTTTCAGTCTTAATCCAAAACCATCCTAACGCCAGTACTTCTGGGGTAAGTAGCGCTGGGCTACCAGGTAGTTGACAAAATCGTCAAAAATTTGGCGGTCAAAAATGTCTTCGCGGTAGTGGATTAAATCTAGGACGTGTTTAACCGTGGCGTTAATTTTCTTAACCAATCGGCGCGGGTAACCATACTTACTGACATGGTGGTGAAATTCCGGGTAATCAACCACGCGCGCTTTCTCGCCCGGGTAGAGCTTGATGTCTAAGTCGTAGTCGATGAACTTAATCGTGTTATCCTCAAAAAGAGGCGGCGAAGACAAGTTAATGTAGTAGTAAATACCGGTGTGGCGAATTAAACACATTGTGTTGAAAAAGCGGTCAAGCGGTAAAAATCAGACGAGCGGTTCGCGCATTATTCAGCGCGAACCTTTTCTTTCCTGGACTTTAGTTTTGTACATCAAAAGAGCGATCGAATACTGGGAAACCTCAACCACTTTCACGCCGTTTCACTGCCGGTAAAGCGTGCCGTCGTGTTTGTAGGCTTGGACGTTGATAATCGAATTCATGACCGGCAAAGACCCGTCCACTAATGTTCCTTTCGCATAGTTAGTTTAGCCATTGCTAACAAGTTGGATTTGGACGCGCAGATCGGAATCTAAAACGGCTTGGTAAGTGCGACCGATTCGCTTAGCGCGGTGGGGATTGGAAAACTTTTTCGTTCAAACCGGTCCGGTTTGGGCCGGTTTAAGCGACTCGAGCGGTCTGCGATCTTTGCCAAATTCGTCCTTAGCAAAGTACAAAGTTTTGCCGACTAGTTCGGGACCGTGCAGTCAACCGTCGGATTCGCCGTTAGTCACGTAGAAAGTGTGGGTGTCGACCGATGAGTAGATTGAGCGCACAGAAGAAGCTAAGTGGGTCAAAGCGTGGTAGTCGTAAGCCCGCGGGTGCTTGGTGATCGGAATCGCCCGAAACTGTCCGTCCTCCTTGATGTAACCGACGTAGTTGTAATCGGCTTGGGCCGGATCTAGTCAGCCGGCGAACTTAATCCGGTCAACTTCGGCGTCGGACTTCATCGGCACCCGGATGATACCGCCTTTGGCGTTACTCAAGTTGCGCGAGGTGTTTTGGTGTCAAATTAGCGCTAAATCAGCCGCGTTGAAGTGGCCGTTGTGTTCGCGTCATAAATTGATTAATCCGCTTGAAGTAGCCGAATCAGCAAAGGGACGGTCGCTCAAGTAAACGTCGTTTTGCTGAAAACCTTCGCTGTACATTAGTGTGTCGCGTAAGTAAAGAGTTAAGTGTTGCCGTCCCTGACCGTAGGGCGCTTCCCAAGCTCCCGAGGGAAGGACAAGGTCGCGACTCCGAAAGGGCATCGTCAGTTGCATGTATTTGCGGGCGAAAAGTTCGTGGGCCGAAAATAAATACGAAATCCGCTCGCTCGCTTCTTCGGGGTTGAGCGGCGGTCATTCCCAATTCGGGTAAGCCGGCGAAAACGCGTAACCTTCGTTATTATCAAACCCCTCCCAAATTTTTGCAAAGTTTGGCTGAGAACTGTTAGCCGTTTCAAAGAGCGTTTTAGCATCGTAAATTGTCCCGATTGATTTAACCGCTACCGTCTTAGTTTGTTTGCTATTCTTCAGTTTAATTTTCTCCAACATCGGATGCTCAGAGATAAAACTTTCGTAAACGTAGGGATCGCTGTAGAGCGGCGTTGGCACATCGTAACGGAGCAGTTCCTTAAACCGACCCAAAAAGTACTGGTTTCAAGGCTGGACCACGCCCGGATGGGAGTAAATTTCGTCGCTCACCCAAGTCGCATCGTCGCTCTCTAAGTTCATCAGTCAAGTGTTGGCTTCGTGGTGGCGGTACTCGTGGTAAAGCGTTTGAAAAATCAGTTCCACCATCGTTTCCAAATGCTTAGCGTCAGGCGCTTGACTTTGGTTAGAGAAACTCGGCACGAGCGGGCTGATGTTAAGAATGATTTGCGAGGTACCCGGGTAATAAGTTCCGTTGACCGAATCCGAGATGAGCGCGTCTGAACCTTCCTCGGTTAAGATAATTTCTTTGAGCGAGTAAATTTCTGGTCCGACACCCAAGTCCGAGTCCATTCTCTGCCTCAGCATCTCTAAGCCGCGCTCGCCTAAAAACCAGACCGGCTCTTTTTCGCTGCCAAAGTGTTTTAAGTTACGTTCGCGAATTGGCACTCCGCAGTAGGATATTTCCATCCACTGGGCCGGCGTGACCGAGCGGTTTTGTTCGCCAAAACCGCGGGTGAAGGCGTAAATGCTCAGACCGAGCGAACCGATCGCGGTCACAAACAGCGCTCCGACACCTCAACCAATCAAATTACGAGTGCGGCGCAGCGATAACCAATAACGTCTCGGGCGGGGAATTTTTCAGCTCATGATCGCTAACTTTCTGCCGAAATTATAGTCTTTTTCCCTATCATTTGAGCGTGCACCTCCGCAAAAAACAGTCTTTGATCGAGCGTTTTATCCGCTCGCCCTACCTGATTACCGCATGCCCCTACCGCTTAGCTAAGGGAACCATTTTAGAAATCGGCACCGGCAAAGGAGCGATGTTAGTAGCTTGGGCAGGCGCAAAACCAAACCAAACTTTTATCGGTCTTGAAAAAAATCTCGCGGCGGTTAGTTTTATCGACTCTAAGATTAAGACTTCCCTACCAAACCTACGGATCATGGTCGGTGATGCCAAACATTTACCGCGGCTTTTCGAAGGCCAACTGGCTCAGATTTGACTAACTTTCCCTGATCCCTGACCTAAAAAACGCCACGCTAAGAGGCGACTGACCGACCAGGAGTTTCTCAAAATATACCGGGCGGCTTTAGAGCCGGGCGGCGTTTTACAACTCAAGACTGACAACCGCGCTTTTTTTGACTGGTCGCTGGCATCGATTAAGAACTTTGGTCTCAAACTTGAAAAGGTCAGCTACGACTGGCACGCCGAGACAAGTGGCCGCAGCGACTTTCCCAGCGAATACGAAACTAAGTGGTCTCGGCTTGGCGCCAAGATTAACTTTTTAAGAGCCCACTTTTAGAGTTAAAATATTTCTGTCATGTACCGAGTTATTTTTGAAACAACTTTGCCCGACCTTTTTGTGGCGCTCGTTAAAGACGAGCAAATCGTCTGAACGCGTCACCTAGTTGACTGCCGCGAAAAGAGCGAAAATTTACCCCAGGTGTTTCAAGAGTTAATCAGCGAAAACTCGCTCCGAGCCGACCAAATTGACCGCTACTACGTCACGCTCGGTCCCGGATCTTTCATGGGCAGTCGGGCGAGCCTAGTCTTAGCCCGCAGCATCGCTTTGACTACCCGGTCCGAGCTCTGAGTGGCAAACACGTTCTCATTCATCACCAACCAGTCCGACGGAACTTACTACTTAAAAGCTTCCAAAACCCAAAGTTACTTGGGCAAAATCCAAAACGGTCAGCTGAGCTGCCAGTTAGTGCGTCTTTGTCCGAGCGAGCCCTTTGACTACTACCGGGCTTTTTTCAAACACCCGGGCGCGGTGTTAAGCCACTTTAAAAAAGCCGAGGATCTCGCGACCCTAGAGCCAATCTATCTCAAAGAACCGGAGGCGGCAGTGTGAAAATTCTAGCTTTTGAAACGTCGCACGATGACTCCTCAATCGCCTACTATGAAAACGGGCAAATTTTGGCGCTTGAGCAAAAAAGCCAGGCCGAGTTTCACGCTCACTTTGGCGGCACCGTACCCGAATTCGCGGCCCGTTTACACAGCCAAAACTTGGCCGAGCTCCTGCCGCGGATTACCAAACGGTTTGACCTATCAAAACTAGACGCGATTGCCTACACGGAAAAACCAGGCTTAATCGGTTCGCTCCACATTGGTCGCCTGACGGCCCAAGCGATCAGTTTTGTTTACCAAAAACCGCTCTTCGGGATTAACCATCTGCACGGCCACATTTTGAGCGTTGAATTTAGCCAAAAAATTGCCTTTCCCGCCCTAGCCCTAGTTGTGTCGGGCGGTCACACCCAAATTTGGCGGGTTGACAACTACTTAACTTTCCAACTTTTAGCCGAGACCCGCGATGACGCGCTGGGCGAAGCGTTTGATAAAGTCGCCCGGGCGCTAGAAATTGGTTTTCCCGGCGGACCAGCCATCGATAAAATTAGCCAAGATTACCAGAGCGAAAATTTAATCGATTTTAGTTTGGATCTGCTTGAGCAAGGTGATTTTTCCTTCTCAGGTATCAAGACTAAAGTGCAGCAGTATTTGCGGGAAAACCGACCGATCACAACCGAAAAAAAACTGCTGGTCGCCAAAAGTTTTCAGTACCACATTTGCCAATATGTGATCGGTACTTTTAAGAAACATTTGGAGACCCAAACTTACGCGAGCATTATTTTGAGCGGAGGTGTCGCTGCTAACTCCGAACTGCGCCGCGAATTTAGTCGACTCCACGAGCGCGTTTTAATCCCCAGACCCGAGCTGTGCACCGACAACGCGGCTATGATTGCGCTGGCCTGCGACCGCCAAAAGAGTCACATCTTGAGCCACCAGCGACTGGAGCCGGTGCCTAGCTAGCGTTATAATTCAAAAATGATTTTGATTGTTGGACTTGGCAACCCAGGCACTAAGTACGCCAACACGCGCCACAACATCGGGTTCAAAGCGGTTGATGCTTTGAGCAAAACTTGAAACATTCCGCTTGATCAAAGTAAGTTTGAAGGTCATTTTGGTAAGTCTGCGCAAGTGATTTTAGCTAAGCCGAGCACCTACATGAATTTATCGGGTCACTTTGTTATTCAACTCGCCCGCTACTTCCGAATTGAACCGCCGCAAATTTTACTGATCTACGACGAAGCGGCGCTGCCAACGGGCGTTATCAAACTGCGCCAAGGCGGATCAAGCGGCGGTCACAACGGCGTTCAAAACGTGATCGACCAGTTAGGTCAAGCCGATTTTATGCGATTGCGGATCGGGATCGGACCGGTTCAGGGTAACTTGGAAAATTACGTTCTTAGTCCCTTTAACGCCGCTCAAATCGCAGTTTTAAATAATCAAAAAAAACGTCTGATTGAAATGGTTAAAACTGTGGTTGATGAAGGTCTGGAAAGCGCGATGAATCGCTTTCACTAACGGAGACTATAATCAAAGCATGAAAGTTTTAGCTGTCAGCGGTGGTCCCGACTCGGTTTTTTTGCTCCACAAGTACCGGCGCAAAAAAGTCGTCGTCGCCCACGTCAACTACGGCACCAGGCCAACGAGCGACGCCGAGGAGACTTTGGTTCGCTCTTACTGCCAGCGCTACCAGATCAAGTGCCACGTTTTAAGGGCCGAAAAAATTAGCGGCCCAGGCAACTTCCAAGCCCGAGCGCGCCAAATCCGCTACGCTTTTTTTGCCAAAATTTACCAACGTTACCAAGCAAAAGCGCTTTTGACAGCCCACCACAAAGACGACTTCCTAGAAACGGCGCTTTGGCACCAAAAAACCCAGCGCGAACCGGAGTACTTTGGCATTAGGAAAAAGCACCAAATCAAGGGCATGCGCGTCGAAAGACCTTTTTTGCACCGCTACTGAAAAGAGGAGATCACCGCTTATTTGACCCGACGTCAAATGGTCTACGCGAACGACTTAACTAACTGCGATCTCCAGTACGCCCGGAGTCGGATCCGCGCCAAATTAGCCGAGTTGAGTCTCGCTAAAAAACGGGCCTACTACCGCTGATTTTGCCTGAGCAACCAAATCTTAGTTAAGAAAAACCGCAAAGTTAACCGGCTGTTTTGACACTGGCAAAAGACCGGTTTTCGGATCGAATTTTTAGAACGGCAAACTTTCCAAGCTGGACTGGTTTGGAAACTAATTTACCTGGCCGACGCACCGATTAAAATCAGTTCCAAGAAGCTCGAGAACATCACCCAGTTTTGCCTCAGCAAAACCCAAGCCCAAAAGTTTGTTTTGCAAGCTAACTGGCACCTTGTTAAAAAGGGCGGGCGGCTTAGTTTAGTTCGGGTAGAAGAAGATCAGTAAAATTCAGATCGTCAAAATTAAAATCCAAGGCAGAGCCGTGTAATAGTAAACGCGGGTGGATCGACCGAGTTTTTTGCCAGCTAAACGCAAATTTTTGTTGATCAGTGAGTAACGTCTGACGCGGCGTTCGCCAACGGTGATGTTAAAGACCAGCAACGCCGACATAATTAGCGAAGGCCAAACTCAAAGCAGTTTCCAGTTTAGGTCAATTCCCGAAGCGAGCGACTCGGGTGTCAAATTGTTCTCGTGTAAAAACTGCGAATCTTGGTACAGATATTTATTAACGGTGATGTTAAGTCATTCGCCAGTCCCGCTGCCGCCGGGCGTGATCGAGAGCGAGTTGGCCGTCTTAATAATGTCAAAGGTGACGATCTGCGACCAGTAAGTTCCGCGCGATAAATCGGTGCGCACAAATCCACCCAGCGCCAACACAAGAGCGTGGGGTTGAAAGAAAACCGGTAAAAAAGTGTAAAAGATGATTTCAAAGATGATCCACCACTTGGCTCAAAGCGACCGCATGCCCTGGCGCATCTCGGCGAATTCAAACTGCACTCGAGCGGCTCAAATACCGGGGTCGTAAATTCTCACAAAGGGCAACCACTCTAGGAATGAGATAGTTTTATCAACGATTCAGTGTTGAAAGCGGACGTGTAAACTAAGCAGAAAAATCATGATCGTAGCGAAGAGATTTCACGAAAGACCGACTAAAAACCAAATTAGAGTCGCACGCGAACCGGTTTGGTTGGTTGATAAAAAGTCGCGGTAAATCGGGTAACCAATCGGTAATAGCGCCGCCGTCTGTAAAACGATGCCCGCTTGGTAAATGACCAGCGAAGAAATAATCGCCGACAAAAGCGGTCCGCGACGAACCCCTTTACGTCTTAAGTACCAGTAGCCAATCGCGTCGCCGCCGATCGAAAAAGGTGTCACGAATGTGATCATCAGACCCATGAAAGAAGCGATGATTAAGTGGTGAAACTTAACCTTTTCGTTCTGGAGCGCCAACATCCTTTTTCGCACCCAAGCTTCCAAGACAAGCGTAAAAGTCATTCAAACGACTAAACTAAACCAAACGATGCGCATCTGCGAACTAAAAACTAAGTGAGCGACATCAAAAACGGTCCGGTTTCGCGCGCCCTTATAAACGTAAAGGAAAACAATCGCTAGCAAAGCGGCGATAACGGCGATGAAAAGCCCGTAGCGAATCACCGAACTAGCTTTGATCTTGGTTGCGATCGGCGACTCGATATTATCTTCAATCAAGTTGCTGATCGTTTTTTCGGTGGTGACAATGTCAACTAACTCTTGCTCGGTCGTGCCGATCGTCTGAATGTAAATTTTCACTTTCGGCTCGGTGCCTGAGGGTCTAATTGCAAACCATGTACCGTTTGACAAAGTGATTTTGAGCATGTTTTGGTTAGGCAAAGAGTGGCGTCCGATGTTGTAGTCGACGCTTTCAACCACTTTTAAACCGGCTATTTTGCGAACCTTTTTGATTCGAGTGAAAAGCTTGGCTTGGGCACTTGGTGTGAGCACTTTTGACATCACGATTGAGCGGTGAATGCCGTGCATTTTAAAAAGTTCCAGCAGGCGTTCGTACAAATTTGTGCCCTGCGTTTTGTAATAGTTAGCCATTTCAACTACGCCGACCAAAGCTTGGAGCGCGTCTTTATCGCGACTGACACTCGGGTTGAGTAAAAAACCGTACGATTCTTCGTAAGCAAAAACAAACTGCTGGTTAGTTTGGCTGAGCGATTCAATTTTCTCGGCGATGTTTTTAAAACCGACGTGCGTCTCGTAAACTTTTAACCCCGCGCGGCGGGCGATTTGGACTGGCAGTTGGCCCGAAACGGTTGTCTTAATGATGTAACCTCGTTTGGGTAACTGACCGCTCAGTTTAAGTTGGTTGATTAAATAATCTAGGTAAAGCGCCGCCACTTGGTTACCGTTTAAATACTTAAAGCGGTGCTTGTACTTAACGACCACACCTAAGCGATCGGCGTCGGGATCAGTCACCACCACTAAGTCGGCTTTCTTAGTCCGGGCTAAAGAAACCGAGCGGGCAAAGGCGTGGCCATCCTCGGGATTGGGTGATTTAAGACTGCTAAACTCTGGATCAGGTTCCATCTGCTTACTAACGTTAAGATGGTCAATGTTCATTCGTTTGAGCAACTCATTACCGACTTTACCGCCCGTGCCGTGGAGCGGAGAAAACACGACTTTTAAAACTTTTGAGTCGTCGGGTCTTTGCCGGAGCTGAAGCAGAGCTTGAATATAGCTTTCAACGATGTCTTGACTGACGTAAGAGTAACTACCAGCTTTCCGTTTGACGTCGAGCGGGTCGATTTTAACCATGTTAGTTTGAACGGTTTTAGCGGCCTCGCCAGTTAGTTGACCGCCAAGGTGATCGTAAACTTTGAAGCCGTTGTACTGCTTGGGATTGTGACTGGCGGTAATTACGATTCCGCCCGCCAAAGATAGTTTGCGAACCGTGTAAGAAACTAGCGGTGAAGGCTGGAGTTCGTTCGCCTCAAACAAGAAAGCTTTGATCTGGTGCGCTCTTAGAACATCGTAAGTCACTTTGGCAAAAAAGTCCGAGTTAGCGCGGTTATCGTGTCCTATGATGACGCCCTGCTTGAGCACTTTTGGCGATAACGAACGAAGGTACTGGGCGTAAGCTTGACTGGCCGCAGCGATAGTTAGTTCGTTAATTCGGTCGGGTCCAAAACCCATCAAACCGCGCATGCCAGCGGTGCCAAAAACGAGCGGTTCTTGGAAACGAACGCTCAAATCTTTGCGAATCAAATGGTTTAAATCACGCCGGTAAAGAGGGTCTTGAACCGAGGCGTTTTGCCAACGTTCTACGAGCGGGTTAGCCATAAGCGAATTATACTTCATAAACCTTGGCCTGCCGTGGGCGAGCGACGCTCGAGGTCGCTAGTCAACTAAAAAATTGGCCACATAGTCTATAATGAAAAAACCTGATTTTACGCCAACTTAATTTAGCGTTTAAGCGGAGGAGCCCAAATGAAACCAACCCATGAAACTGACTCTGAGCAGTTGCTAACCAATCCAGAGATAAGTCCGATCGAGCCAGTTGTGACTCAGGCACCCAACCTTTTCCTAGGTAAGTTACTTATTTGAATAGCGGTCTTCCTGTCGCTGATCGGTTCTTTCCTATACTTTGTCTGATTAGGCAGCGACCTATGGCCCGGCAACAACATAGATTATCGTCCCGACAACATAGACTATCGACCCGACAACATAGCTTATCCCAGCGCTAGGGACCGCTCCTTACTACTAACAACCAACATATACTCGGTTTTCGGTAACCTTCTTTATGTTCTGCCGCTTTTAATCGTCAAAAGAGCCAAAACATTTAAAGTCTGAGCGATTGTCTGATTAGTTCTAGCTGGCATCAGCCTAATCTTTTTGCCGATTTTAATGCCCTTCTCAATCAGAATGTACGGACCCTTGTCGACCGTGCTGGGTCTAACCGTAACTATCTTGACCATGATCGGATCAATCCTCATCATTGTCAAAACTAGTCAAGCGTGCCATTAGTTTAAAATTTTGTGCTACGTAAAAAAGCACTCCGCTTTGAACGCGGAGCGCTTTTTTGTTTTAATCCGTCTACGAAAGAAGTGCTGAGTCGTAACGTTCGTCTACCAAACGTCCTCTGGCTCAAGATTCAGTTTCAAACAGTCCGAACAAATATTTGACAAAAATTCCGTAACCTTTGTCTAATTCGCGTCAACGGTAAGCGCTGAAAACTAGGTGCGGAATTACTTTGGCTTGGATGTAAGGTTGAAAATATATCAAAGAAATAATCAGAGAACCGGCGCGACCATTCTCAAGGTGTTCCACCATTTTATTAACACCGAAGTGACTGATACCAATTTTGTGGTAGAAAACGTTTTCTCACGTATCTCGCACGTGTTCTTTCCAGAATTTTTCTTCCTCTCAGAGAACAATTGAACGTTGCGGTTCGCTTTTTAAAATGTTTTCTCCGCCACAGTTTCACTTGGCTTGCTCAACCTCTTGAGTAGTGGCGCTTGCGAGCGCAGTCGGCGCTCCCATGGCGAGCACGCAGTTAAGTAGTAACGACATTTTTAGAAACATGTTTTTCTCCTTTGCACGCGGAACTAGCCGGTTTAAGGTCCTAACCAAAACAAACCGTTTTGGCGCTTGTCCAAAACGGTTGTCTAGCTAAAACACTGACTGACCGATCCCACTTTTCAATTTTTGTAAATATCTCTATTTACGTTCAGATTATATAAAAGTCCGTTAGTCACCTAAAAATAGTTAACTAAAAACACTCCGTTTCACAACGGAGTGTTAAAGCATTTGTTAAATCTTGTTAGTGCAGTCTCGCCCAGGCGTTAGTTTCAAACATTCCGAACAAATAATGAACGTAAACTCCCCGACCTTTGTCTAAATCCCGTCAGCGGTAGGCACTGCCAACTAAGTGGGGGAGGATCAGCGCATTAATGGAAGGTTTGAAAATCACCAAAGACGCTATCACATAGTTTATACGTCCGGACTGAACGTGATGGACCATTTTTTTGATGGCGTCGTGACTGAGTGTGACTCTTTGGTTAACAATGTTGGTCCATCCGGTTTGGATGTGTTCTTTCCAGAACCTTTCTTCATTTCAAAGAACTAGTGAACGCCGCGACTGGCTTTTCAAAATGTTCTCTCCACCGCAATTTCATTTGACTTGTTCAACCTCTTGATTTGTCGCGCTAACCAGCGCAGTTGGAGCACTCATGGCTACAACACTGTTAAGTAGTAACGACATTTTTAGAAACATGTTTTCCCTTTCAACCGAAGAACTGGCAAGTCCAAATTTCCTCGTTAAAAGCGACATATAGCATTGCTGCAAATGTCTTAATAACCTAAATTCTTGACCAACCAATCTCGCTTTTCAATTTATGTAAATACCCCTATTTACAACTTAATTATATAGAGGGGCGGTTGTGCAACCAAAAACAAGCCTATTTGGCGTTTTAATTAAAAACGCTCCGCCTTGTAGCAGAGCGCTAAAATGTTTTTCTGATGCCTATCTAGCTCATGCGTAAGTTTGGAAAATGCCAAATAGATAAAGAATTTCCACACCTTTGCCTTTGTCCAGATTTTTCCAATCATGAGCTTTAGCCACAATATTCCCGATCGCTGCGGAAGAAATGAAAGGTCGCTTAAAAATTATTAAAGACGCTAGCAAACTACCCGCTCTTCCGTTTTCAAGGTGGTAAATAATTCGATTGATCCCTGCGTGAGTCACAGTGATTTGATGGTTAACGAAGTTAGTCCAAGTGTCTTGGATAGCGGTCTCCCAAAATTTTGCTTCTTCCCAAAGAATCACCGAATTTTGCGCTTCGCTTTTTAGAATGTTTTCGCCACCACAGTTTCACTCAGTTTGATTTTTTTGCTCGCTGTGAACATTGCTGACAGCGGTAGGCGCTGCCAGTGCGACGGCGCTGTTAAGTAACAAAGACATTTTCAAAAACATGTTTTCCCCTTTAGCAAATGGGTTGGTAAACATGAGTGCTTAAAATCAGTGCTTGGTCTTTTGCTGCAATTTAGACTTAGGTCAACTGAACCACGTTTAAAAGTCACCAACCCATCTCGTTTTTCAATCGCGTAAATATCCCTATTTACGACTAAATTATATAAAAGTAATGCTTTTGGTTGGTAGGACAATTGCGCATTGTCAGTACGCTGAAAAGTTTTTTTCAGAAAAAATGTCTCGGAAGATTATTTGGGTTAAGACCGAAATGTTTTACTCCGAAAGAGATTATAATTTTAGCGTTAGGTTTACCAAAAATCTATCAAAAATACGAATGGAGAAATAAGAAAATGAGAGAAACTTACGAAACTAACGCTGGTCAACCCAACTTTTTCTTAGGAAAACTTTTGGTGTGAATCGGTGTCTTAATCACGCTTGTGGCGATTATATGGGGCATCGTAGACGTGGTTAATAGACGCGGTACTGACCAAAATGTCATGGGTATGTTTTGAGGTATCCTTTCGGCTAACATTTTGTTCCTACTACTTTACGTGTTGCCGCTAATGATCGTCAAAAATCCTAACACCCTAAAAATTTGGGCGATCGTTTGAATTGTTCTTTCGTCGCTGAGCGTAATTTCAGCCATAGTTAGCATAGTCAACGACAGTAGAGGTCTAGTGGCCGGAATTCTCGGTTCATTAAACGCAATCTTTGTTTTGGTCGGATCAATCATGATCGTGGCTAACGCCCGCAACTACCGCTACTAAATTTTTTGGTACGATCCGTCGGCACAAACGACGATGTGGCCAAGCAGTTGAATGCCAAATATTTTGGCGCACTGCACAATCTTGGAAGTAATCATCCGGTCGGCTGGCGAAGGATTGGTTTTACCCGACGGGTGATTATGGAAACAGTAAAAACGGCGGGCTTGAAAAGATAAGACAATCCCAATAATTTTGGCCGGTTCGATTGAAACAAAAGAGTGGGTGCCTTTGTAAATCGTTTCCCAGTAAAGAATCACGTTTTTCTGATCTAACAAAACAACCAGGAACTGCTCCTGGTTTTTTGCTGCGATTTTTCAGCGCGCGAAGTTAGCGGCTTGGAAATCGTTATCAATCCGCTTCCCCTCGGCAGTCTTACTTATTCTCCGACTCAGTTCAAAAAGTGCTTTAAGTTCAATCGCTTTGACTAAACCAATTCCGTAAATTTGGTGCCAATCAGTTATGCCTAGCGAAGCTAAAGTCGTGTAAGTACCAAACCTTTGCCAAATTTTCTTGGCCAAATCAATCACGTCTTGCTGGTGCTGACCCGAACGTAAAAAGATGGCTAACAGTTCAATGTCGCTTAAATTTTCGGCGCCGAGTCGCAAACACTTTTCGCGCGGACGTAATTGGTGCGGCAAATGTTTAATAGGCATAGTAAACCACGCGGTAAGTTTGGGTTGTCGGTTTAGACGTATCGCGTTTATCCCACTTGATCTCTTGCTTGCCGTCTTTAAAACTGCCGACGGGCGAATTTCAAGCGTGCATCGCGGAGATGAGCTGGTGGATTGAACCGAAAATTAGCGGCAGCGCGACGGCAACCCAAGCCCAACCGCCCGAAACTTGGTCAAGCTCAGCGCTAGTTAGCGGTTTAAAGTTAGTTAGTTTCAATTTTCCTCCCAACCTAGGTTGGTAGATTTATCTAAAAATTTAAGTTTTGAAAAACGTTCTCAGCCGTCAGACTGATAAGCCAAAATTTGTTTTGAAACGCCGGTTGTGCTAAGGTTTAAAAGGAATGTGACTGCCGAAAATGAGAGAGCGTGTTAAATCTGATTACCAATTAACTCAATGATCTCGGTTCGTGGCAATGACTTGCTAAGAACAGCATTTGAGGCAACTAAACGAATAAAAGAGGAATCTAACAGTGGATAAAGAACAACTTTACCAATCGCTTTGGCATACCCGCGAAAAAATTAAGGATAGGTCGCGCCGCGACTACGGTCGGACAGCCCCCGTTTGCAGCGACAATGCTCTCAATGAATTGGCGCATTTAGCTCCTCGCCGCAAGGAAGACATGTTAGGCATTGACGGTCTTGGTCAATCTTTTGTGGAAAAATACGGCGATGAATTTATGCGAGTTTTGAAGATTTATCACGACTCAAAAGTGGATCTAAAACAAATTGACCAAAAGACCAAGAAAATACTTGATAAATTACAGGATAGACTCGTCAATATCAACAAACGTAACCGTTTGCTATACACGGGCAAATTGCCGGCCAAATTTGGAATCGACTTACACAGCGAAAACGAAGACACAAACCGAGAATTAGTTGATTTTTTAATTTCCCAGCGCAAGAATCAACAAATCGAGATTTGCAACTTTAATCCTAACCGAGGCAGTTATGCCGATAGTCTGAAGCACAAACGATTGGTATCACTTACACGTGAGGTCGCTAAGGATTTCCGAGAGAGCGGTCAGTACGAACTTTACGTGGCTTATCCTTTTGTAATTGGCAAAATCGCAGGGGACAATTTCAATGTCCGGGCTCCTCTGGTACTATTTCCGGTCGAAATTTCCCGGACAACCTATTCATTCACGATCAAAGTTAGTACGACTAGAGACATTCTTTACAACAATAATCTCATTTTGTTAGAAAACAAGTACAGTAACTTAAACCGCGAAATGCCCGATCCGGTCATTGAAGAAATTGATCCCTTAACTTTCCATGACGAATTGTTAAAGTTTTATGCTCAAAACGGTATTATGATCAATCGAAGCGAATCAGAGAAGAAAGTTAACCCAAAACTCTTGGAGCATTGAGAAGATGACTATGCTAAAACAGATCAGCCCTCCCGGGATCAGACAAGCGCTAGGGCCGAACTGGAGTTGGAAACTCTGACCAAGGATGAAGTAAGCACTGCTAAATTGAAAGATGATTTACTCCCGGTTTACGCTGATAACGGGGTCACGATTTTTCAAGATGATGTAAGAACAAACCGCAACGTCAACGAATTGAATTTATTGGCTGAAGAAAATCTTCCTAACTGAAAAACTCAAAAATTCGTGGAATATAAGCGCGAAACTTTCCCGCGTTTTCAAAACGGGGAGTTTTACTTGGAAAACAATGTCGTGCTCGGCAAGTTTTCTCTCTACTCTACTTCCATCCAAAAAGATTTCAAAAAAATAGTTGATCAAGGTGAACTCAGCTCGCTGGTCAATGAACTACTAGCCGGTTACGATCAAGAAATAAACCTATACGACGATGAAGTTAGTACTCATCAGGAAAAAGAAGACCGGGGAAAACCGGTTTTTAAGGAGTCGGATTTTCACTATATAAACGATCTCAACAGCTCACAAGAAAGCGCAATCGCCCAAATATCTCAAAAAGATAAGTTAGTCGTGCAGGGGCCACCAGGAACCGGTAAATCGCAAATGATCACCAGTTTGATCGCTGATTTTGTCAGCAAGGATAAAAATGTTTTAATGGTCTCACAGAAAAAAGCGGCTTTAGAAGTGATTCACTCTCGGCTTGGGGACTTATCAAAATACGCACTCTTCCTAAGCGACCCCAAAGACAAAGATTACTTTTACCGCCAGATGGACAATTTAATTTCAAACCGGGGGCTCCTCTATTCCAGCCGTGATAATTTAGCAAAATTAGCTGATTCAATTGAAGGAAAAAGTGCTCAACTAGAACAAATTTCCGAAAAATTATTTACCAGTAAAAACGATGATCTGCCGATGTATAAAATTTACCGCGAGAATGTCAATAACCAGTTTAAAGAAAAATCTCAAAACTACGGCGTTATGTTTGAAACTATTCCAGAAAAATGTTTTGAATGATCTTATCGGCTGACCAAAGAAATTCACCAAAAATGCGGTAACGCTAGCCTACTCAAAAACTACCAGTTGTATTCTAAATTGAACTCCGAGAGTCCCTGACTAAAAAATGTCCTACCCAATTTATCAAATTACCAATTCACCAAGTTGATGAAAGCGGTAAAAACTTACGTTGTAAACCAACGTTATTATTGGCAATCGGCCTGAATCAAACGTGTATTTTCTAAGCGCAAAAGAAAAGCGGAGCTGAGAGATTTAATCAAAACGTATTTTCTCAACCAACAATCTAAAAAACTTTTTTTCAAACATCCCGAGCAACTATACGGGGTAAAGGACTACTTTGATTTTCTAAAAGTCAAAGAAGTCGGTTCCATACTGGATGAAAATCAAAAACTGTTTTGCCAAACAGTTTTTAGTCTGAGCGAAAATTCTAGCGCTGAATTAACTGATTTAGCCAAAAGTGTCTTTGAATTTTTAGCAATTAACAAAATCGGTGATTTTGAAAAAGATAATCGTTTGATATTTAACACGATCGCCGAATTCAAGCAAATCGTGGCGCTGATTACCGAAAACATCCGCCAAAAAAGGCAACTAACTAAAAAAGAGATTAAACACATTTTAGAAATCAAATTGGAAAAATTCGTCGCTCTTTCAAAACGGTTCGGCGAGTTGGCGAGAAACGTTAACGGCAAAAGAAAACCGAGCCTCCACAAGTTCATAAATAAGTTCCACCTTGAATTGTTTAAGGGAATCAAAATTTGGCTGATGACGCCCGAAGTAGTCTCAGAAATTTTGCCGTCTCAAAAGGGCATGTTTGATTTAGTTGTTTTTGATGAAGGGTCGCAAATTTACGTGGAAAAAGCGATTCCAACCATTTTGCGTGGCCAAAAGGTGCTCGTAGCCGGCGACAACAAACAACTCCGCCCTTCCAGTTTGGGCGTAGGAAGAATCGAGTACGACGACGAAACTGAGGAAGAGGAACAATTCGGTTCCGAGGCTGCGCTTGAGGAAGAAAGTTTACTTGACCTTGCGTGCGCAAAGTACGACCAGACGATGCTTGACTACCACTACCGTTCCAAGTACGAAGAATTGATTGCCTTCTCCAATTACGCCTTTTACCGCGGTCGTTTGCGCGTGTCACCAAACTTTGAAAAGCCGATTACGCCGCCAATCGAAGTGATAAAAGTGCCGAACGGAATTTGGGTTAAACGCACTAACCACCAAGAAGCAGTCCAAGTTTTAAGACTGCTTAAACAATTTCTAGACCGGAGACAAAAACAAGAAACGGTTGGTATCATTACCTTTAACAGCGCCCAGCGAGATTTAATTGAAGATCTTATTGATGAAGAATGCCGAAAAAGTCCTAAATTTGCCACGATCTATAAAAAAGAATTGGAACGAAGAAGTGCCGAAGGCGAGGATCTAGGCATCTTCATTAAAAACATTGAAAATGTCCAAGGCGACGAAAGAGACACCATTATTTTCTCCTTTGCTTATGCCAAAAACGAAAGCGGTCGAGTGGTACGTAACTTCGGTTGGTTAAACCAAGAAGGTGGCGAAAATAGGTTGAACGTAGCTGTCACCCGGGCCAAATTAAAAATCTACATCGTCACTTCGGTTAAATCGTCAGAACTGAGAGTGGAAGACTTAAAAAACCGAGGTCCGAAAATTCTCAAAAAATACTTGCAATACGCCGAAGCCATCTCCGATGGTAAATCTAACGAAGCACAAAGAATATTACACTCTTTAAACGATGCTCCTAGCGAAGAAGATACGTTAACTTTTGACAGCGAGTTTGAAATCCAAGTTTACGACGAATTAGTGGCTCGCAATTTTAAAGTGGAAACACAAGTCGGCATCGGGGGCTACAGGATTGATCTAGCGATTAAAAATCACGATCAGACCAAGTATCTGCTGGGCATTGAATGCGATGGAAAACTCTACCACAGTTCTAAAACGGCTCGGGAAAGAGATATCCACCGCCAAGCTTACCTAGAGTCGCGTGGTTGAACAATTCACCGGATTTGGAGTCCTAACTGATGACGTAATAAAAACGCGGAAATTGAAAAAATTGTCCAACTGGTTCGGAGCCTTGAAACGGAGCAAAAACCTCAACTCGTTGCTGAAGCGGCAAACTAGTTAGAGTTTAAACTTTGCTAAATCCCCACAAAAGCGCATAATTAAATTAGTCAGTCGTTGAAATGACTTATGCAAAACAAATTTTTTAACCGCTAACTTAAAACTAGGTGGAGGCAATTGCCTAATGAGCGAAAAAGAGAAAAAAACTATCCAAAGCATTGACAAAGATTTTTTAGTTAAATTTTTAGAAGACTTAAAGTATTTGCCCATGCACGAAAAATACCGCGCCACACTGACCGATCGGCAAATTTGAAACATTTACTTCTTAATCGAATACAGAGTTGTCAAAATGAAAAAAATCAACAGAATCAACGGTAACTTTGAGGCTATTGAAGTCTTCCGCGATCCGCGCGCTGATCTGCTCTTGGAAGCCTTGAGAGAAGAGCCAGATCCAACCAACTGACAAAAAATTAAAAAAACGCTCGGACCAAAAATGAGCAAAGTTTGGGAAATTATCACCCAAATAGGCGTTGCTTACGTGACTTCCAAAATAACTTAAATCTCTAACCAAACTTCTTCAGTTCGGGACTAGGTTGGTACTTGCGCCCAACTTTAGCGATCAATTTCCCGTCGTGTTTAACCGCATCGGCCGAAAAAAGCACGCCGATCTTCATTAAAGCTGCGCCCACTCCGTAAACATCAACCGGAGTTTTTTGTTTTTCAAACTCGGCGATCCGCTCGGCCGAAAAACCCGAGGAAACGATAACTTTCACTTTCTGAGCGCCCGCCTTGTCAAGCGCCCGGCGTAAATCCTTGATTAAGCGCGGGGTCACCCCGCGCTGGGAAGCGTCTTTGAAGTGCGCATCAACTAGGTTGCGAGCTGTGTCGACCCGGACTCCAAAAAGCTTTGCGCCAAAGCGGTGCCAAACTCTCAGCGATTCGCCAATCACATCGTTGTTAAAATCGACTAAAGCAACCAGCGGCTGGTCGGGGAAAACGCTGGCAAAAGCCTCCAAGGCCTTGACTACGTCGCCGCCAAACATTTGGATTAAGGCGTGGGGCATCGTACCAACGGCTTGGCCAGCGTGACCAAGGACTTGGGCTTGGGTAACTTGTTTTTGGATCCCGCCGATCGCAATACTCTCTCCATCGTAAGGCTGATTTAGGTAAAGGTCAGCCCGGTCGCCCATGAAAATTAATTCTTTGCCCTGGGCCGCTTTCACGCAGTTGCGGGAGTTAGTGGCTAAAGACGAGCAGCGCGACAAAATCCCGTCAATCACGCCCTCGTAATGCCCAAATTCATGGTAGGGACCTTCTAACTCCAAAACCACTTGGCGCGCCTTGAGCACCGCGCCGTCAGGCAAGTAGCGAATCTGGTAATGGCGAGTTGATGTTTGGGTCTTCAAAAATTTGAGCACCTCGCTCATGCCCGCTAAAACCACGTCATCTTCCCACTGGAAAAACTGGAGCGTGGTCAAACTTTTCGGTAAAAATCGCTTGGCAATCGCCTGGGTGTTGAGCAAATATTTGGCTACGTAAGCAGTCGGTTTGAGACGGTTCATGTTAACTTTCGGGCGGCAATAAATTAACCTTTTGACGGTCAAAGAAGTCGTCAATCGCGTAGGCTAGACCGTTTTGCTCGACCGCAGCTGCGTGAAAACGAGCCGCCTTTTTAGTTTTCTGATCCGCGTTAGCAACCGCGTAAGAGTAAACCGGTAGTTCCAGCATCGGAACGTCGTTGGCCGAGTCGCCGATCGTCATGACTTTTTCCAAACTCACCCCTAAGTGCTTGGCGAGCCACTGGACCGCAAAGCCCTTGGAAATTTCGGGCGGTAAAATTGCCACGGTGTGCTCGTCGACTAAAATCCAGTTTAGTTTCAACTCTTGGGCAACTTTTTGCGCTTGAACTAGCTTCTCCGGACGCGCAATCACGAGCAGATTTAAAAGTCCTGGCACGGCTGGATCAAAAGGCAAAACTTTTAAATCACCGATCATTTGGAGACGAATCTCATGCTGGGCGTCAAGTCGATCGCCGAGGTCGGGGCTGATGTAAAAATCGCGCTCGGTTCAAGCGCAAAAGTAAAGTCCTTGGTCGGCCAAACGCTGGTAAACAGCGCCGACAACTTGGGGGTCTAGCGTCTTAGCAAAAAGCGGTTTTTCTAACTGGCGATCGTAAATGTAAGCGCCCGTCGAAGTGACTACGTAGCGCAGCCTGAGCTGGGCCGCTAGCCCCTTAATCATCGGAAAGTAGCCGTTACCAGTTACAACCACAAACTCGGCGCCCTGGTTTTGGACTTGGCTAATTTTACTCTCGTTCTCACGGCTTAAACTATTCGGACCTCGGTCGTACATCGTGTGGTCAGCGTCGGAAAAAATTAGGTACATTTTTTGATTATAACACCCGCTAATTAACCGACTTGCTAGCCGGCCTGAGNGGCCAGAGATCAAACGAGCGGTTCAAACGAAATCGAGTTGATGTACTTAGTGCTGATGATTTTTAGGTCCCGTACGCTTTGCTCGAGCAAAAAATCGCCGATTCGGTCGACAACTTGGTTAATTGAGCCGTAGGTGATGTTTTCACCTAAGTTAGCGATTGCTAAATCAACCTCGCGACCGATCGTTTCAAAGTAGCGCACCCCTTTGGTGCCGACCACGATGAGACGGTCTTGGGGACCAACGTGCGACTGGGCTAGTTTTAAAATGTTGATGTTGTAAGAACCGCTCAGTCCCAGGTCGGATGTGATGACTAGTCAGAGCACCGGCGCGCTGGGGTTATCCCCAAAAAGTGCCTTAGCGCCGCCAAAGTGGCACAGAGTCGGTCAAAAAATTGCTTCTAAACTGGTGTAAAACTGATCCGAAGCGCCGAAGTGACGGCGCAACTTCTGGAGTTTAGAAGTCGCGACTAGTTGCATCGCACGGGTGATCTTCTTAATCGCGACGACACTATTTATGCGACTTTTTATTTCTTGGAGTGACGGCATTGGTCTTTGAAACTGGCTCCTCTATTTTTGGCATTGGGTCGTGCTCGTCGGCAACGTAGTTTTTAATCGTTTTTAGGAAAGTTTTGACAAAGCGGTAAACTTCCCACCTAATTTGCTCGTAAAGCTCGGGGCTAAAGGCTTTCGACTGGCTAAGTTGGTAGCGCAGTTTTTTGGCGACTGATTCGCGGCTAAAGTAGCGCAGAAGTTCGTCTTTAAACTGGCTAACTTGCTCAACTGGCAAAGGATTGGTTAACTTTTCTTTGATAGCCAAGAGCAAAATGGCTTGGTCAATTTGGTCAATCGGCGCGTACTGGTGTTGTTTCATCAGTTCCAGCACTTTTTTACCGTGGCTCAAAACCCGCTTAGTACTCTGGTCAAGATCGGAACCAAACTGGGCAAAGTCAACCATTTCGTTGTACTGGGCGAGTTCAAGTTTCAGCGAGCCTGCCACTTGTTTAATCGCCTTAATTTGGGCGGCCGACCCAACCCGTGAAACCGAGTAACCGACGTCCACGGCGGGGCGCTGACCCAAGTTGAAAAGACTGGTCAACATGAAAATTTGTCCGTCGGTAATCGAAATCACGTTGGTCGGAATGTAGGCTGAAATGTCGCCGGCCTGAGTTTCGATGATTGGCAAAGCGGTGATTGAACCGCCGCCGTGCTCGGGGTTAATTTTAGCAGCCCGCTCTAGGAGTTGGGAGTGGAGGTAAAAAACGTCGCCGGGGTAAGCTTCGCGACCCGGTGGACGCCGCAGTAAGAGCGACAAAGTCCGGTAAGCAACCGCGTGCTTAGAGAGATCATCGTAAACGATCAAAACGTCCTTCCCTTTTTCGCGCCAAGCTTCGGCAATCGTGACTCCCGTGTAGGGAGCAATGTATTGGAGCGGCGCCGGATCGCTGGCGCTAGCGTCAACAACGGTCGTGTACTCAAGCGCTTTGTAGCGCTTAAGTTTACCGACGATTTGGGCAATCGTGGAGCTTTTTTGACCGATCGCTACGTAAACGCAGTAAACATCTTTGCCGCGCTGGTTAATGATCGTGTCGATCGCAACGGCGGTTTTACCAGTTTGGCGGTCGCCAATGATTAACTCGCGCTGACCTTTGCCGATCGGAATCATCGAGTCGATCGCCAAAATACCCGTTTCGACCGGCTCGTTAACTTCCTGACGCGTCATAACCCCGGGAGCAATTTGAAAAATTTCCCGGCGCGCAGTGGTTTTAAAAGCTTTTTGATCGTCGATCGGCTGGCCAAGCGCGTTGACCACGCGGCCGAGCAAAGCATCGCCGACTCCGACCGAAATAACTTGTTTAGTGCGTTTGACTACGTCGCCCTCTTTCACATGCCGCGCTGGTCCCATTAAAACGACTCCAACCGCGTCTTCTTCAAGACTCAGTGCCATGCCGTAAAGATCTTTGCCAAAACTCAACAGTTCACCAAGCATGACTTTGTCAAGACCGGAGACAGTCGCAATCCCGTCGCCAATCTTGAGGACGTACCCGCTTTCTTGCGGGCTAATTTGGTGGGTAAATTTTTCAATTTGCGGCCTAAGGATCGCCGCTAAGTCCGATGCTCTAGTTGCCATCTGGGAGAATTCCTTTCAAAGTCAAGCGCGTGCGAAGCGCTTCTAGGCGGGCGCTGACTGAGTCGTCAATCGCCTGGTCTTCAATCACCACTTTGACCCCGCCGATTAACTCCGCGTCAAGTTTATTAATCAGTTCAACCGGTTGTTTGATTTGCCGACTAATTTTGCTGCTAATTTGCGCGATTTGCCGACCGATTAGTTTTTCGCTTGAGTAGAGCACGCCGCTTTTAACTCCGAGCGCTCGGCTCGCTAAGGTGTCAAACTGAGTCAAAATTTTGCGCACTAAGTGGACGTTTTTGCGCTGAGCCAAAATGAGCAGTAAGTTGACCATTCAGCGGTCAAAACGGCGGGCCAAAGTTTTCTCAATGAAGTGGCTTTTCTGCTCAGCGCTCAACTGATACGAGTCGAGCGAAGCGACTAAGGCGGGGTAGGTTCTGAAAACTTCCGCTAACTCAGCGGCTTGCTTTTTAAGCAGGGCGGTTTTACGCGCTTTTTGAGCCAGCTGGAAAAGCGCTAGGGCGTAACCGGTACTTTGGGTGCTATCCATTATTTTTTACCGATGAACTCTTCAACTAGTTTGCGGTTAGTTGCCGAATCCATTTCTTTGCCAATCACCTTTTTAGCTGCGTCAATCGCTAAATCAACGACCGCCTTCTGGGCGTCGCTGTAAAACTCTGCGCGGGCTTTTTCGATCGAAACTTTGGCTTTTTCAAGCAACGAATCGGCTTGGTCTTTGGCCTCTTCAATCGTAGCCAGTTTTAACTTTTCCGCCTCTTTTTTAGCGTCGCTAATGATCGCGTGGGCTACGTTGCGAGCGTGGAGCAGCTCGTCGTTAGCGAGCGCTTGGTGTTGGCGCGATTTTTCGAGTTGTTTTTCCGATTCGTCAATGTTGTCCTGGATGTAGCGACGGCGTTTTTGGTACATTTGCCGCACGGGCTGGTAAAGCAGTTTGGTCAAAACTAACAGCAAAATTAACAGCGCTAGTAAAGTTGCGACGACCGTAGGTCAAGTCGGAAACAGTTTATCGGCGATGTCAATGTTTACAGCCTGCCACATATTTTCCTAACCTCCGAAAGCAAACAGAAGTAAAAACGCGATCAACAGTCCGTAAATTACGGCCGTTTCGGTTAGCGCAATTCCGACGATCATGGTGGTACGGATTTTGCTCTGCGCTTCGGGGTTACGTCCGACGGCTTCGCAAGCTTTCCCGGCGGCGTAGCCTTGCGAAATTCCGACTCCGATTCCCGGTAAAAGCGCCAGAGCGGCTCCGATCGCAATCAGTCCTTTTTCCATAGTGATTCCTTTCCTAAAATTAGTTTATTCGGTTTCTAATGACCAGTATAGCATCGTTAAAAGTGTGAAAACATAAGCTTGAACGATTCCGCTGAAAATGTCAAAGTAAGCGTGAAAGACGGGCGCGATCAAGGCGCCGAGCAAGTTAATCTCGCCAACCACCGGGATCATTTGCCAAATCCAGCCCGTCATGTAGTAGAGCAGGTAGAGAATGATCGAACCGCCGATGATGTTGCCAAACAGACGGAAAGAGAGCGAAATTAGCGGCGCAAACTGACCGATCAGTTCGAGCGGGTTAGTTAAAAAACGGAGTCAAAACCGCCAACGTTTGTAAACGATCCCAACCACGTAAACACCCATTCACGAAACGAGCGCCAAAGTCAAAGTCACGCTGTAAGAAGTTGAAACAGCCGGCACGCCAACCAGCGAAATTAAGTTACCGAAAACCAAAAAGGTTAGCAAAGTGAAGATGTAAGGAGCCGGACGTTCAAGTTTGTTGCCGGTCACATCGCGGTAAAGGTTGTCAACTCCCATCACGTAGTGCTCGGCCACTTGGGCCACTCCGACTGGAGCGCGGTTAGCCGGTTGTTTACTAACTTTGAGATAAACAACGATTGACAAGACGATTAAAATTAACACCACCAAAATCATTGAGAAAATGTGGGGTTGTAATTTAACCGAAAAAAACGCTTCCTTAAGTTGTTGCACTGGTTAGTTGCTCCGGCTCAGATTTTCGGCAAAGAAAAGCGACCCACGTGTAGTTAGTCAGGACGTAGCCGCCAATTCCGGTAAAAACATTAACCGGTCGGGTGAAGCTAAGTCAACTGCTTTCTGATCACGTGAGTCCGTTAAAAAACTTGTTGAGAGCGATGGCGCCGATTAAAACTAACGCCATCACAAGCAGCAAAGTTCACGATCTTAGTAAACCAAGCGCGAAACCTTTGGCACTGTTTTGAAGGAGCCAACGGGCGTAGGCACTATTCATCCAAGCGTTGGCACCGCTAATGAGCGATCCCAAAATTCATCCGACAATAAAACTGTAATCTCAGATGCTGCCCAGACCAAGCGCCAGCGTGGTTAAAACATAACCAACCACTAGCGCCTGTCCGATCGAACTTAGTTTCTTTTTGTTATGCAATTCGCACCTAACGACGAGTAGCTTGACTAGTGATAAGTCGCGTACTCATTAACTATTTTACTACATAAATAGTTGGGTGCTCGGCGCCGGTTAAAAAACCGGTTTTTCTAACAAATTAGGCTGGGGAACTAATTTTCCACCGACGTAAACTTTTTCAATGTTGCGGTCGTCGCCAATGTAGACAAAGCGCTGAATTCTTTCAAATAGATCAAGCGGTTTGTTTTGACCAAGCGAGCGGTCGTCAATCACGAGCGCGTCAAAACGGTAGCCTGGTTCAAAACTTCCGACCTTACCAAACATTTCACCGCCACCTTTGGTTGCTAAGTAAAATGCTTCCGGAGTTGTTAGGGCTTTTTCCTTCTCAACTAAGTGAGCTTGGAGTAGTTTTGATCCGTGGATCGCTGCCACCATGTTGTGTAAAAGCGAGTTGTCATGTCCGCCGGAAACGTCGCTTCCTAGACCGACTTTAACGCCGTTATCAAAGAAGCGTCGAATTGGGGCAATTCCGCTGAAAAGATTAAAGTTGGAGTAAGGACAGTGGGAAACAATTACGCCGTATTTCTTCAGTTTTTCAATCTCAGGTTGTTGAGACTGAACGCAGTGCGCCATCACGGTTGGAGTTTCCAGCAATCCGAAACGCTCGTAAACCGATACGTAGTCGGGTGAATCGGGAAACAGTTCCTTGACCCAAGCCACTTCCCCTTTGTTTTCGGAAAGGTGCGATTGAACCGGAACTTGGTATTTTTTGGCTAGATCTCCCAGTCCCTGCATCAGTTTGGCTGAGCAAGTCGGCACAAAACGCGGGGTAATGATCGGGTTAACCAACGGGTGTTTACCGTGGTATTCTTTAATGATTTCTTCGGTGTCACGGAGCGAGTCCTCGGTTTTTTCAACCAAGTTATCGGGTGAGTTGATGTCCATGTTAACTTTTCCAACTAGCGATGAAAGTCCGGACTTTTTGAACATGTCTAACAGCAGCTTAGTCGCGTCCTTGTGGATCGTGTTGAAAACTACGCTGGAGGTAACCCCGTTTTTCCAAAGCGTGGTAATGAAGTCGTTGTAAACTTTGCGGGCGTAGTTTAAGTCTTTAAACTTAGTTTCCTCGGGGAAGGTGTAAGTTTCTAGCCAAGGCAGAAGCTCCTTGTCAAGACCTAGTCCGCGGTTAGTAAACTGCGGAGCGTGGATGTGGGTGTCGACTAGACCAGGAATAATTAACTTGTCCTTGTAGTCGCTCACAGGGTAAGAATGGTACTGGGAAGGGATGTCTTTGCCAACGGCTTTGATGACATCGTCTTCCACAACGATGTGGCCATTTTCGATTAGTTCAAACTGACTTGGTTTTGAAGTGTAAACGATGTGACCTTTAACGATAAAACCTTTTTTCACTGTTGCTTCCTTTGCAATTGATCTACCCGCCTAACCTTATTCGTCTCAAGCAGGTAGGTAAAGAAGTTTGGTGTCGGATCGTTTGACCCACAAAAAACCAGCGACAACCGGAGCGGTTAGTCAAATCTTTACCGATGAAATTATAAACAAAAAGCAACTGGAAGAAAGATTTCCAAAACGGTGACCGAGTTAAATCCGGCGGTTGCGAAAAATGTAGAAAATTACGATTGAATTCATGAATAAAGCAATCGCGTTGGAAACGATTAAGCCGTAAGCCCCGTAGGCAGCCGGACCATTCTCAAGTAAGAGAATAATCCCGTAAATCATGAAGAAAAGCGCTCCCAAGTGGAAAATTAAGTACTGCGAAAGCGACAAGTTGGCAGTTTGCTTAGTTTGGATGGTGCGGATGGCGTTAGGTAGGAAGGAGATTGTCACCAAAATTCCCCCGATAATTCCAAACATTTCAAAAAATATATTCATTGCGATTTAACCTTTCTGTCAGAACAACTTTCCCATTATACAAAAATAAAAAGTTCCGCCCGCTCAGGAGCAGAACTTTTATTAAAAGACTGTGGCTTAAACTAGTGTGCGAGCTCAGTCAACGCGGTAAACAGCGATTCCAAGCACGATGCACTTCATTAATTCACCGAAGCCGTTGCCGACTAGCGCCACGGTTACTCCGGTTCAGTTAATTGCTTTGGCGTTGGTTTCAGGATCAATTGGCAAAATCGCGGAACTAATTCCAAGTGAAATTAAGAACCATCCGACGATGAATATGTAAGCTGATAGAACGTCTAAGACTGAGGAGAGCATCGCTCTTCCGCCTACCCGCAGAACCGATAGGAAGACCATCGTGAACGATAGGAAGAAGAATCCGAACGCGTGCCAGACGGTGTGCCACTGGGTGTAGAAGAGTAGCATGCTGCCGGCTGGTAGACGGAAGATTGGTCCCATTCCGAAAATACCGATCATCAGTAGCATAAAAGCTAAGATTAATGACAGTATGAGCACCATTCCGCAGAAGCGTTTGAAGGCTAGTTTAGCGCCTTCGGGGTCACCAGCTCCTAGTCGGGTTCCGACGTAGTAAGGAATCAGAGTCCGGTAACCTTGGAAAATCGCGAAGAATAGGTTAACGATCGTCATCGTGATCACAATCGCTTTCATACCTAAGTCTCCGGAAGTTGGTCCCCCTAGTTTAATCATCACGATTTGCACTAGCGCTAGGGAGAGTGAGAACAATACGTCCGAGAAAGCAATTTTCCCGAAGTTTCCGAGCACTTTCACAAACAGATCTTTGGAAAGAACTTGGTCGCGGGAGAAAGGACTGAAAGCCGCACGAACGCTTGGCATTAGGAAGCAGAGCCCGACGTAAGTTGCCGCTTCAAAGACACGGGAAGTAATCGTTCCTCAAGCGGCTCCCTTAACTCCCATACCCCACTGGGTTACCCGGAAGATTGGGTTGTGACCGTCGTGTTCAATCAGAGCGTAATCCATGCCTTCAATTGAACTGTTAGCACTTTGACCCGCTTTCGGCATCAAGACGTTAAGTCCGTCGGCACCGCTCGTAACGGTGACGATGTTTTCCCGGAGCTGTTCAATGTTATTGACACTTTCAGCATCAAGACCGTAGTCTCGAATATCGGCGGTAGTCAAAATTGCACCCGGCACGTTTCAAAGCGCTAAGTCGACAACAATTCAGCGCTGAGGTGCAGAGAGACTTTGCCAGACGCTGTTCCAGCTGGCGTCAGTTCCTCTGGCGTTTACAAGGTTTAAAATGTTTTCTGACTCTGTCTTAACTTGGTCAGCCGTTAGACCAGGAATATTAGCGGGAACATTGATGTTGTTCTGAATGTCGCGGTTAATTTGTTCCCAATTTTCTAAAGCACCTTCTAAGTACCGGCGAACCGCGTCACCGGAAATGTAGTTGTCAAACCTCCAATTTTTGATCAACCCGTTGTAGCCCGTCATAAACAGTGGGTTTAGCGTACTGTTGATGATGAAAGCTGTTCCTGAGACAATCATCGGGATAAGTGGCTTACCTCACTCAACGAACGTGAACTGGATCGGCAAAACTAGACCCAGCAAAACAAATGACCACGAAACAAGCGCTCAGTACTCTTTAGCGTGTTTAATCGCCGCGCTGTTAGGCCCTCCGTTGTTTGAGAGGAAAAAGTAAAAAAGCCCCTGGTCGTTTTTGGGCGCTAGGGCCGCAGCCGTTAGCACACCAGTTAGAACAAGGGCGATTGAAGTTCCAATGACAATTTTCCAGCTGACTGTTTCACGGACTTTAGGAGTATTTTTAGCACCGAAATACTGACCGGTAAAAAT